TGTGTGTGGGTGTGTGTGTGGGTGGGTGGGTGGGTGGGTGGGTGGGTGCGGGTGTGTATGTGTGTGTGTATATATGTGTGTGTGTTTGTGTGTCTATTTGAATGCTTTTGTATCAGTGACCCTCTTTGCGGTTTGGTTTGTCTGCGTTGCCTCGCACAGCGTGTAGCAAAGGAGTTCGGCGCAAATGTTTGTGTGAAGGGACGTCTAGGTCTGTAATTACACGCAGACAGAATTCTGCTTGCGTTGGCGTTTCCCTGTATATGACAGAGGTGAGCTCTGGCCTGTGCAAGCTATCTAAATATCCGGGTGCCTTGGCAGCAAGCACACAACAGCTACATATCGTCTTGCAGGCAGTAAAAGCATCATAATTACTACGTATGCACCATAAGCGCTTTGTACACACTGTACCTCCTACACACAACAGATGCAAAACATATATTCCGCACGAACACATATATATATAGATCAGGCAATCTGCATCTACAATATAAGGGGCAAAAGCAGGTGCTCCAGGCGGCGAGTTCATTTGCTCTCAGCTGCCCGTCTCTGCGCACACCTCAGAAGCCTCACCCAGAACAAATCGGTGGTAATCCCCTGCACTCCTCCATTTTCTTCTTTCCCTTCCTCCCCACCTGGCAGGCCACCGGCGTTGGAAGGTCCAGCGGAACAATACAGTTTGAAATCTACTCTAAACTCTGCAGCACCCACTGAACCCCTGCGCCTCTTCTCTTGCACAAAACGTCCATTACTTGTGCCCACGCCACACCAAGGGGCCCCATAGGAGGGGCCCCTGAAGAACTCCTCATGACAGCACGGGGACCTTCTGAGAGGGGCCCCCAGGGAGAACCGCTTGTTGCCTGCGAAGAAGGCTTCAAATGCAGTTCCTTGGGGTGCCTTGAAGAGGTCCTCCTGTACAACTCCGCTGGGACCCCCCCAGAGAGGCTCCCACCGAGTATCCCTTATATGCCTACTGTAGCCCCCATTTGGCCCCAACCGTGTTTCCCGTGGATGTTTCCTGGGCCCCCCAACAGGGCACCACCCAAGAGGCTGCAGGGGGGCCCTTTTAAGAACCCTTAGGAGGGGATTCGGTGGTGTAAGGCTCGGGATGTCTGTGTTTCTTCGGTTTTTGCGGCTGAAGATGAGGATAGGGTTCCTGGTGAAGCCTTCCAGCAAGTGCAGGTTGGTGGGATATACCGCAGGGTTCATCAGGGTTAGTTTGTTTAGGAGGTTTTCATTGGGTTAGCCTACTGAAAAAGAAGTTTTTGAAGTCAGTAAAGGGAAAACTAAAGAAGACAGGAACCATGCGCAGAAATCGATTCAAGGGCAGGCGTACCTCACCTAGTCCTTCATTTGGAGCCTCCAGAGGAGTTCCCGTCCCAACTCCAAAGAAACATATTTTAATATTGCCAAATGCAGTCACTTGCCTCTCTAGCGCAGCTGGGGAAAAGCTGCAAATTTGGGACGCAACGCCGAGGCTCGCGGAACCTGATGAACAGGGCAAGGCGGATGCAACGATGCAAATAGTAAAAACTTCCAGTAGTGTCAATCTCTTTGGAGAAACAAATAGTCGAAAACTGAAATGTAATTCCTATTTTCGCCCTCTATTTCCCAATTTTAGAGAATCTTGACCCCTGGTTTGTTTCGCACAACCACAGAGGCGCTTGGATGGCCGTTCATTAGCGGTTAGTATCAATTGTACGAAATACACACATAAGCTTTATTTTCTCGGAGTTTCTTTGCATACTTTTTTTAAAGTAAGTGTCCGGGAGGGCTGCTGATGCGAGTGGGGTCCTACGGAACATTATTTTCGAACAAACTGCTTGGTTAGAAGACAATAATACTAAATCGAACTACTGGTACGAGCAAACGGAGGTCATCGCTTTGGGGTATCGCCGTCAAGGAAAAACGACAGCCCACCGCTCGTTCACAGCTGTGATGAACCCTTCAAAGTGTCTTTCGGTGCGTATTTTGCGTTTCTTAAAGGCATATTGCGGTCAATTGAATTGCCGTTCACCCAGGAAGGAATGCTTTGTGGCCTCCTTGGCGGTTTTTGCGGACCTATTCGTGGTAACTTGTCAGCAGCACAAACAAAATCCGCAGGTCCCTCAGCTGTTTGTCGTTTGCCCATTTAAGTGGTTTCCCTAGCCATGTACAATTGTGGGAGATTGCTAAGACCTGTATGAAACACGATTAACAGGCTGACTCCTAAAGGTAAGCTATTAAGCCCAACAACAACAGCGCAATACCCTACTGATTGGTGGGCGAACAAAACATTGATTCGTTTACCCATATGCTGAAGGAGGAACCCAACCCATTGGGCTTGAAGATAGATTTTAAGCGGAGGGACAAAGCTGAAACGGAGACAAGTCAAACGACGAAAGGGAACAAAAGACAGGGCGGTTTGTAACAATGCACATTCAAATGGAAAGAAGAAAAAACATTCACTTGCAGCAAGACTGAGACGCCCGCGCATATATCAGGGCCGACATATATAAGAAGCAACGAATCAGTCCCCATCTGTATCAGCGACTGTTTCCGGTCGCTTTGAACATGAATGCTACACCAAAAGGAGCACAAAAGGTAAGGGGACTGATATATGCACGTAAATGGAAACGTGAAGGGGAGGCATACAGCTTTTCAGTGCAGCTCTCCCCACAGGGTAAGGAGCCTTTCTTTGACAATGGGATGAACGGCCATCCACTTTCTAATGTCGGAAATATCACTAGAGTCGTTGAAAAATACATCAATGATAACAGCCGGAGCGCAGGACTGAGGCTTCACGCCCAAGGCCTGCAAACAGGTGCCTACGAAGCAGTCTTCGTTGCTCAATACCGGCAACCACTTGGCAACAGCTGCTATTTTTGCGACTAAGTCGTTAGAAATGATGTACAGAGGACCCGAGAGATATGGCGGATACGTTGCTGGACTGTATACACCTGGGTCTTCATAGTTTCGGTTCTTGGGGTCTCGTATGACTACTGCGTTCGTGCGCAGCACCCCAGCTGCTAGATCTGTTTCGTCTTGGTGAGCATTCAAGTACCCCAGCAGTTTATTTATGTCCATAAACACATCTGCGTCTGCCTTTACAAGGAACTTGGCCTGGGGACAGGCGTTTGCGACCCAGCGGAACGCCGTAATGGTCTTGTGGGTTAAATTGCGGTATTTGTCAGGGGCTGAATGCTGCAGGATGTCGTCGTACGTCGCTGCCTCCTTCTCCACCGCTTGCTGCACCTCCTGTGACCCCACAGTTCCCAAAACGAAGAATACCCGCACCCGCCTGGTGCCTACACGACTGACGCCACCCCAAGTGCTCCGGACCACCGCCCGCGCCTCTGCATCTGCTGCCCCTGTCATCGTGACTAGTGCAGCAAAGGGAGGGTCGTCAGCGCAGCTGATTTGCGGGGTTATCAACAGCCGCCAGTTCGTCTGCACTGGCAGAGAAACAAGCGACAACTGACGTTCCTCAGGCCACCTCCACCCGCGGGACTTCGAAAAGAATATATATATAGACACAAATGCAAGAAATACCAACCAGCCCACGTGATACACCGAAATACCGCTCCAAATCCACCACTCCTTCACGGGCTTCCCAGCCCCAGTAAACTGCACAGAAAACAGAAAGTCAACCACGAATCAATGCACAGGGTGCGGATAAAAGCGGGACGCCTAAGTGAAGAGTACGGTACTGAATGCGCCATTCGATCGCATTCCTTGCAGGAGACATACAACACGCTATTATACAACATATGCTAACTTGAGAATTCGACAACACAGAGCACAACATTAACAGCAACCATGATCCGACAGCAATCCTGTTCACTACGTGCACCTTGTAGGGCAGAAAGGCTGAGATATAGACTTTTGCAGGGGGAGCAGCAAAAGAACTGCACCAAATTTATACATTCATGTGCAGTGATGCACCCGAGGTAGTGCAAGAGGTTGCTGCCTACTTTCTTGAGGTCGGCTTGACGCTTAAGAGATGGGATCTTGACGCACATACTGGGGGGAGACGTGCATGCATCTGTTTTTCGATTGAAGTTGGGAATTTCTCCTGTGCAGACGTTGACGTCCTTCATTGTAGGCTCCTCGCAGGAGTTCAGGCGCGCCATTGCAGCTGTCTGTGGCGCCTTGGCGTAATTCCTCCCTCAAAGACAGGCACTCGTCCTCAAGAGGTTTATTTGGAACTTCATTGCAAATCGCCACCCACGAAGTAGTGCTTCTCCAAGCCTACATGTTGAATCTGCGGCTAGGCCCGAGACGCAGCTGCACCGGTGTCGTTGGCCCCAGTGGGTGGCAACAAGAGAGCATCCCCACGCAATTTGAGGCAAATGGGTTAGCGAATTTTGGTCAATAAAGACAACAGAAAGATCATCGCGGGAGGTTCACAATTTGAGACCCGACAAAGCGCGGTAAGGTAGCCGCCTGTTTCCACAGGTCCCGCAGGGGAGCAACGGGCATTTAGGACAGAAACCGTCAGATAAAGGGGAAAGAAAAACAACTTTTTAAACGTTTTCGCCCGAAAATCAGTGAAGCGTGGATATATGGTTCGAGTTCAAAACAAGCTGTCCAGGGCCTGCCGGCTCCCACGTCCCCTGGGCTGCTAATGGAGCTGCTCCTGATGGGCGAAACGAGTCCGAGTCGATTCAGATCTTGACACATATATAAAGTAATTCATTCCTATCAGCGTACTGGGTAACCCAGAACGAATTCCACTTCCAACAACTCTAGCCGTCGTGTTGGCCGCTAGATGTGCACAGGAGTGCACGCATGCATCGATGAGAGCGTGCAACGGCAGCGGCGGAGAAGGCCTTCTACAGTAAAAGGGCATTTCCGAAGCTCCATAGAAGTGTTTGATCGACCAGCCAAAAAATCAAATGCTGCCCAGGACAGTTTCAAACCAACCTTGGCTAGCAGCGGAAAGGCGTTCCCACCTCCCGCGGGCCCCCTTCCTTCCACCAGCAGATGGAGAACTAAGGACCCTCGAATTCTGTTTGTTCTGTAATGAAGCGGTTAGAATATAGTCGTAAGCATCTGTCCGAAAACACTTCCAGCCTTTGGGGGGGCCTATAGTGTAGCCCTCATTTCTAACGAGAACCCACAAGCCTCCAACGCGGGTCATTCACCTAAGGCAAGGACCGTCGTGAGCGCCCATAAGGCCAAAGTACTCAAAATTTTAAAAAAATCCTTAAAGCATTTGACCTCCCTCCCGGTCTCCAGGTGTCCTGAGAGCGGCGGCACTTGGGTCTGAGTCTACTGCGGAGAGGACGCGGCGCATCATCAGCTGAAACGCACGTTGCTGCAACTCCTGGTTTAAAACAGCCCCAAGTGTAAGGGCAAGTGTAAAGGCATCAAAGCTATTTATATTCATGCACTAACACTGGACACAATTGATAACCGATTCCTTGGCCCGCAGTAGCAAACGTGCACGCAAATACCAGTATACTAAATATTCTTCCAACTTCAGACGCAGCATGGTGCATCTGCCTCCCCAAAGGTGCGCACTCTCTCCTGTGCCTGATCTTTCATGAAGAGATGGGTGAGCCGAGGGGAGGGAGGGCTCCTGGCGCTGCTGCTGCAACGACTGTTGTTTCTCGTGCTGCGCAGGTTGCTGTGCATCTCTCGTTGCTACGCCACTTGCTACCGCACCTCTTACTGTTGTACCGCTAGCAGTTGGAGTTCCTCCAACTAGTAGTGCATCGCGAAGAGCATACATTTCTCCATCTGTTACAAGAAGTGTTTCTGCACTGCATTGCATTGGAGTGCCGTCGCTGCTTTCTTCTTAAGATAGTGATTCCCCTCCTACTGTAGACAATGTACATGCAGTAGGGAATGCTCATAGGTGCGCTTTCTCATCGGCCCCAGGCGAATAGATCTCACAGATGTCTTCCGGAATTTGCATGAGCGCTCTCCAGTAGGTCAACCATAAGTGCCTACGATTATCTCGTGGAGAGCTGGTCCAACGCAGAAATCTTGCGCCGTACTAATATAACCCACTTCTGTGTTTATTTAGCATTGTACACCCATAGATTTACAGATCCACATCTCCGTTTCACCGGCCAAGCGTAGTTACATAGACGGCGCCAACGCATAAACTGGGCGTTTAATTAGGTCGCCTCCCCACCGGGGAGCACATCCTTATAAATCTTCATTATGCGAGAAGAGAAATGGCTGAGAAAAAGCGGCCCTCGTCATAGTAAAACAAGGCTTCGCAGCCGTTGGTGGCTTCCCCGACGGACGACGCATGAGGGCGTATATCCATTATTCGACTGGGACGGAGTGAAGCTTTGACCGATATTTTAGGTTGACAATCTAGACTCTCCGTCTCTTTATCCCAGCAAAGAACCTTTCTTAATAAGCATTACATAGCCGGGGGTTGCGTTTCCCAAACCAACAGTACGGTGCTGTCCACTTCTGCGAGGATCATTGATCTGCGTCGAGGAGAGCTGTGAGCTTGAGTAGAGCCAAACTACTTAGAGTTACCGTCTCCCAAAGCTGAAAAACTCCGATCTAATCTCATATCTTCCTGAGGACAGAGGCACACGGGCCTGGGGCTACTACTGAACGGAGGCAGTCAGTCAAAATCTTCAGCGCATGTTTCTGCAACTCTTGTTGAGAGGAAAACCCACGCCCAAGGACACCCAAACCGCTATTATATGGATGCATTAGCATTGTAGAAAACTGTAGAAAGCTTATTTGAACTCAGTGCACAGCCTTGGCACACGTTGAGGCACAGCTTCGGTCTGTGCAGTAGGTAGCCACAGGCATCCTACAGATACGATTTAGAGGCAGAGCAACAGAACCCAACATAAAAGAAACGACAAAGTACGGTTGCTTCTTTAAAGTAACAGGTTTAATTTTTGGTAGGCCAAAAGAAGGCGATTGAATTGCTACTGGTACAGCTTGTTTGTCGCCTAGCCTCAGCACCAGGCGGGGAAGGAACTATTAAACAGCGTACAAAAATAATGCCACAAGAGAAAGTTGTAATATTTCGTCACACACCCACACAAAAGTACGTGGTGCGTGTCAGAACGATTGGAGCGCCGACGGCGTACAGAATGCACTTCGTAGGAGATGTCGTTGTCTCTTTGCATCGCTCACTTTGTGTTAAGATCGACGTATAAAGAATTTGCTTCTCATTTTCATCTAATTCTTATGGAGCTCTGCCTGGTCATCCAGAGGAAGTCCAATTGCCCGTGCCAGACTACGTGGCCAGAGGCGAGGGTACTGGCACCAGTTGCCTCGCATCTTCTCAGCTACACCCGTGGGTGTGTGCACTGAAACAACGCAATTAAAAACGTTATAAGAGTTTTTTCGAGGAAAACGCGTTGTTGAAGCGTTAGGCTCCAGGGCAGGTGAGAAAGGCCCCAGCCTGCTCGGCAACCGCGCAGCTGGCGCGGTCTGACCACCTGGAACCAGCGCATGTTTCATCCCCTAATCCGTTGCACATTTTGCTTAATTTCACACTTTACAAATAGCTTTGTGAAATACAGCTTCTGTCTAGAGGGTGGATGTCCACTTGCGCCTCCCGCTGGTTAAATTGCACAGGCGAATTGGCCACCGAAGGTACCAGACCAGTTGTTGGTGGCACTCCCACGAGCTGGTTTCCATTGCCTTTTCATTGTGGCTCAACCAAACTACCAACTGACTTTTCTCCTCATGTTCTGCCAGGGGTGGCGAGCTCCCCCGTCTAACTGTCGGGCTGCACAGGAACTGTAGCTGCAGAACTGTCCGAGGAGTGTATTACGAGGGTTGTTTTCACAGCAGGAAAGGAAGAAATGCGCTTCAAGGGGGTGAAATACCAGATGAAGTGAAGGGTTGATCACAAGATCTTCGCGGGTTCGGCTCAAACGTCCAGCTCGGGACACGTCCTTTTTGCGGATATCCTGTTCCTGTTCTTCGTATCAACTGCCACACCCTAAGCGCAAATTTTGGTACTGGTCAATCAAGCGGCATCTGCGTGTTGGTTGTCCATACTCAGGCATGGCGGGTGTCGGCTTCCAGATGCCGCCCCCTTTGGAAACCAGCAGCCAAGCCATACACGGTCTAAACGACTTTGAAGATAATGCAATTCACAGCAAATCGCCCAGTGAGGCGTATTTGCCGATATCTGTGCCGCACAAACTGCCAATATCCCAAGCTGTGAGTAGGCTGGGTCTTATTTTACAACTCCTAATCGTAAACAGCCCTGTGCATGCTACCGCTTTGGTACACTCTGGCTTGTACGTTTGCCAATGTATAAGACTAGCTCCACAGACTAAATAGATATAGTAATTAATCTGCTTGTGTACGCAGCACGCTTTACGATAGTTTAGCAGTGAACAGACCCTGAGATAGCTCAACCGGGCATACGTCGTGCAGCTTTTAGTTTATATAAATGGTTCTCATGGGTGCCTGTCTCCTTTCGCATGTTGAGCAATGACTGCAACCGCCTGTCTTCTGATTTAGTGGGCTTGTTGTGTTGCTACAGGATGGCACGGTGCCGCATCGTCCGATGAAACTGTCCCATTCTTGGAAAGCGATATGCAGGAACTGTTTGTATTCTCTGTTGTTTGCGACTGCATTGTTTCTGTATATTGTCATATCTAAAGCTTGCTCGTGGAACTGGCAAGGGGAGCCTCAAGTGCCGATGCTCTCATTGCCCCTGCAGACAAATTGGGAATTGCTGATCACCTCCAAGGTGAGTTGCGCTGAAGATCCACCTTTCGCGGCCCTAATGGCGATGACGGGAGCTGCGGACTTTCAGGGGCGGATGCTTGTGAGGAACACGTGGGGAGGGGCCAGCCGGGTGGCCAACAAGCGAATTCGTTTATTTTTCTTGTTGGGCACCGTGGGGTCTCAAGAGGTGCAGAAGGCAGTGGAGGAGGAGGCAAAGGCGTACGGGGACATTCTGCAGCATGCAGCCCCTGACAAATACACAAGTCTTGCAACTAAGGCAGCAACAATGATCGAATGGATGGCGAAATCTTGCCCTGAGGCTAAGTTTTTAGTCAAGGCGGACACGGATACCCTAGTGAATTTGGATGTGATGATTCCCTACTTAATAAAAATGGAGAGCAAGGGGGATATCGCTTTAGGTGCTCGTCTAGACAACATGCCTATCATTACTCATGAGAAGTCGCGCAACTACCAGGACCCTCTAGTGTTTCCTCGAAAAACATTTCCTCCCTATCTTTCAGGTGCCTGTTATATCGTCTCGGGAAGTCTGATCCAGAAAGTGGCACGTGTCTTGCAGGAAGTGCCACGGGTTAGGAATGAAGATACCTTCCTGGGAATGTGTTTAGAACGCTTGGGAATAGAACCCACAGCCATTGGGCCAGAAGCGCAAATTAACCCTTGGTTTGACCCGGCGAAGGGACCATGTGCTGCGTTTCGGCTAGCTGCGGCTCATTCATTCAAGCGAGACCTATTAATCGCCATTTGGGAATGGTGGGAAAAAGGGGGAGCCAAGATGTGTCACTAATTCAGCAGAATTTGTTCCCTCATGACGCCCCAGTGGCAAACTGAATTCGCTCAGCTGTGAATTAGATATGCTTTTCAGTACCAAACTTCCTATTAAAAAAATAGGAAGTTTGGTACAAAAAAAACCAGCGCAAGCAGGAGACTGCTTGCGCTGGGTTTTTTTTTGTCCAGTTGAATCTGCCCGGTCATCTTTTCGCTCAAGGTAGCCCAGAAATGCCTACCAACAACAACTGTGTCAATCCGCGTACAGTTGGCAACGCGGTGTTTTTATCGAAGCGCATCTGGCTATCACTTCAGGCACTTCAGTTAATGCCAGGGGGTCAATGTGACAAAACATCGTCGGCAGTTCTTTAGAAGGCTGGCGAATTTATACCTAATGGAACTGGCTGCATGCTAGAGCAACAAGGTTTCTCAGGTCTTCCTTCTATCGTAATGCACGTGGGAGGTAACAGACTCCCGCAGTGTACAGGGTTTGTGTCAGTTTGAAAAAGCCGCACCCTTGTAGCAAAAACCCTAACTGAATTTCCTTTCTAGCGCTCCCACAGGTTGAAAGCAAGCAGAGTATCTCCCTTTTCCGATTCCCGGCTTAGGGGTATGGCCCAAGAATTTTCGAAGCTATATTGGCGACAGAAGTTTGTGTCTGGCTTCGGCTCAATTTTCACCTACGCTGTGGACGGGAAATGGGCTTACAGTCTTGTAGAGATGTATAAAGATGCATCGATAAATGCACTGATTTTCAAACAGAGGTAGCTGCACTGAACTTAGGCTTTCTCATAGGCTCTGGGGGAGGCGGCTATGTTCACAAAATGATAATATCGCAGCAGTGCCCGCCTAAATCGCGTGGTACGGTTAAAGACTTACATGGAAGACACGTGTTGTTGTAAATTTTGCCAAGGGCTCCTTGCGTCCTGCAAATTTGCACTTGTTTCACTACGGCAGAGCAAACTGGCACTCAAGGCTTTCGATTCGGCAGTGCCAGTCAGAGCGAGTTGAGCCAAGATTGGCTGTAAAATAGCAACAAATAAGTAAATAAAGAAAATATACTTTTTTTCTGAGTTACATATACAGAGTTACTGTGGATTCACCGTAGGGGTTGTCTTCTCCAGGCATCGTGGTTTGGGGGCTGACGACAAGTGGTTCCGGTGTTGCAGCTAGCGTGAGGGTAGTAGGCCGTCACGGCCTGAGGGCTAACGCTGCATTGTAGAGCTCTTGTTTCACCTAATTCACGATAATGAATCCAAATATGTGTTAATTTTTCACGGTTTGTTCTTCCTTGTGGAGCTGGCGCCCGTTCGATAGGCCCCGCTGCCGCCGCAGCATTCGAAAGAGACCACAGCCGCCGGCAGTTTGCAACGACGGCCTGGTATCAGTTTCCTCTCCTAATTTCCTGCCATCCGGTTGTTTTTATCTCCCTAAAAGTATTCAGAGCTTGCTTTACTCCCTCGACCGACTGCAAAGCTGCAGTCAAGCCGCGATTCTGCCGCGCCGAAAGCATCGGCACAACAGCAACACTGGCAGGCATCATTCGACAAGCCGGGCGAAGCATCCGTTGGTCGCAAGCGCCAGTTCGTTTCTTCCCCACAAAGGTACAAAGGCTGGAGAAAGGCAGTATCTTAAAACATAAGGAAGGGCCTGCAGCTGGGGCGCGTTTCGACAGTAACGAGTTCCCCCGCTCCTGCAGGCTCGGAAACCTGGTCATTGGCAACAGACCACTTTTTGTGGAGCCCGCGTCATGGCTATGCCAAACCCTAGACGTATTTAGGGCGACATCCTCAGCCACTTCAAGGGTCCACCACAAAAGCAGCATGTGGCTGCTTGTGCACACTGTTCTGCGGCCTGACAGCCTCGAGCGGTAGTCACTATTGACTCTTTGCAAAATCCCACAGGTATTTCCGGTTTCCAATTCTGTGCCTTTTTCAGGTAATATGAAGCAGGACCAAGTGGGCCCCGGCTCGCCCTTGAGCGGGTCGCAGCCCAGCTCCGGCCCGAACACGGTGCGTTCTACGATCCCTGAGGCGACCTATTCTTTGAATGCAGTAGGAAAAGTACCAGAAACTCGCCCTGCGCGTCTTATCCTACGCCCTTATGACGTCAACACTACAGGTTACACCACCATGGCCCCCGTGCAGTCGTCTCAGTCAGAATGTCTGAGGTTCTACAACGCGCAAATGGCTCCTCCCGCTCCTTCCAAGCAACAACCGCAGCCCTGTTACCAAGCCTCGCTAGAAGAACCCCCCGTTAAAGGACAAACTGAATATTCTCAACCCAGCAAGCCCCTCGATAGCGCGTTGCCTGCACTGCAGGAGCCGCCCCAGCGCATGCCTATGGGCGTCGGCCGCGGCACAATGCCCGTAAACGCGTACGACTTTCCTCCCCCCTTGCTTGAAAACAAGTTTCAGAAGGAACAGAACTTTCTACGGGGCTGGAACAGAGTAGACCATGCAGGGGCCGTCGCCACCTGTCGGATGGAGCGCGTTCCTCTCCCCATGCTAGAGCGCATTCCCGGCGGCTCCGGCCGCATTCATCTTCAGGGGCCCCTGGTTAAGATTAAGCTTCCCCAGGTTCCCTCTGTAGAGGGAGACCTCCGTCGCTTCTGTCAGCGGATTTTGACGGCTTTCAGCGGAGCGGCTGACGACTGTCGCCGTCTCCTTGTCCCATGCACTCAGATGCGCCTCCCTAAGTTTGAGTGCAACGCCCCCCAACCCCCCGTGCTGCAGGAATGCAGAAGCTGCGGCTACAAAGGCCATTTTTGCCCCGAGTGCGGCTCTGGACCAAACGGTCGCATTATGGCTGCGGACGGGGCCCCGTTTGCGCGCGTTCAGCCATCAAGAGGGGTACTAGGTGCGTTTTATGTCTGTTGCCGAGCTTCAACGCACAATACGAACCAGCATTTTTCTATTGTAGCTTTACTTATCTTGTCTATGGTCAAGAAGCACACGCAAGGGAAATTCTAGGTTCAGCCTAGGCGGTCTCTGCCTCCTCGTAAAGGCAAGCGTTGGAAGTGCATGTCGCAACCATATTACCGCTGTTCATTTATTGATCTTGCATGTGCTTTATGCTCAGTGGCGCAAGAAGGATGCTTGGAAAGGTGCATGCGGTGGCACTGCTCTCTGTTTGAGGAGGTGGGGGACGCCATCGACCAGGAGATTCTGTGTGACAGGGCGGGCAGCGTTTTCCGTGAGTGTGGAGAGTTTATAGATAACCTCGTGGCGGAGGGAATCCACGCCATTAGTTTCAACTGTGCAAGCATCTGTGGCGCTATTCCCCGGAGAAGCCACACTTTAGTCGAGGGCTACCCGATGTACGAACCTGATCCACAATTCTTGCGCAAGGAGCGGCCGACAAGTGCAACAGGTTAGTGAACTCCTCTGTTGTACGTGAGGTTTCGTACCTGTTCTATACGTAAAGGGAAAGACAGTTCAAATAATTAGCGGGAACAAATGCGGGCTGTTTAACGTGCCACCGAAAAATTGCGAAGGTATACACCCCAGCAAACGCATGGGCATATTACCTGCATGTATCTTCAATTCAGGGAACGCCTGCGTGGACCAGCTTAACGCCTTCCTGGACGCCTGTTTAGCGGAACGCACCAAATACAACCCAGAGTTGCCTCCTCCTCCCATCCCAGATACGCAGAAGACCGGCAACTGGCTGATTGACGCCACCAACGCTGCACTAGACTACTGCCTACAAGATGTAAGCCTCGAGTTTTTGTATATACCGATCTGCTTTGACTGTGGTAGCTCAATGATGGCTTCTCATATGAGCCGAAAGAAGTCCTCTTGGATTTCTAAACAGTTGCTAAGCCGCCTGACTGTGATTTGAGGAGCCCAGCGCGCCCTTACCGACAGTTTTTGCAGTTTTCCATATGCTACTTGGGCACCTCCAAATGCACCGCTTGCTCAAGTTATTTAATTGCCTGTGACACCTGCAGCGCACACCACCGCCACCGCCCCCGCCCCGCAAGGTCTGCCCATTGGAAATGCTGATTCCTCCGTGCTGCCGCGAGCGACCGCCAGTCGTGATGCCTCCTCCGAAACAGCGTACGTTGCTGTAATTTTATTGCTACTCCTAACCAGCGTAGATGGCGCATGAAGAGCAACTGAGAGAGCCAAACTAGGGGGCACAGAGCAAAGTGGGGAGCGAAACGTTGGAAGTGTCACGATCTACATTCCCTACATTCCCTGAAAACCTCATGTGTGCCTCAATCTGATGCAGCAATGTGCCCGCTTTTGGAACGCTGCATGGGCCGTGACCGCGACTGTCCTCACTGCCACCAGCCTATTCGTCCATCTGGAGGCAAATGTCAGTCTTTTCGCTCCCTACTGGCGTATTTTTTGCAGGCACCTAAGCAGCAACGTATGCAAAGAAAGAATGGTGCCTGCCATAGTAGTAGTACTTGCCTTTCTCCCACTTGATCTAGCCAATAGACCTCCAAACACTTTGCTGCTTTATTGTGCACTGCGCTTTGTTGCTTATTTTTTACTCGGTCCAGCAAAATGTGAGTTCTTTGCCGTTCGGCAGCATATTTTGTGTTGCGATCTTTGCCTGCAAGTGCGCGTGCAACCTCCGATCTCCACAAATGTAGCTTTTTCGTGTTTGCGCCCTCTTGGAATAGGCCCAAAAGAGCAAATTGGTGGATGCCAAATCCAGTTTTGCCCTGCTCGTGAGCCTGAAATTACCGTTGTCCCCACAGGCCCGGCCCTTGTGTATCCTTACAGAGAAGAAGGTAAGAGAGCAGCACGTTCGTGTCAAACTACAAATATTCATATCAGTTAACTCTCGTAGTGCTACAAGAAGTACCTGCGACCACAGGCAGCTCCCTGTCAGAAATTCTTGGCCCTGAGTGAACATATTTAACTGTATGCTTTAGGATGTCGACTGAGCACGACTGCTTCGTCCCTTTCCGTGTCCTCTTTCTCTGCATTTCCGTATCAACTTATGCATTTCTTCCCAGCTTTTGCGCTTCGTTCCCTACACCGTACTGCTTCATCCCTGCTGCGCGCCTTTCCCCCCTGCAGCATTCCAAGTGAGGGATCCGTCTGGCGTAGTAGAGGTGTTGGACGATCATGCGGAAGGAGTACAGCTCCCCCACAAGTTGGTCATCACTGAGCCAGTGATGTAATAATGAATAAACAGTCCATTTTGTTGATTTCCATTGTGTACGTGCATGCTCACAACGATGTTGTCGAGCCCTGATGAAGCCGGTGGGCAACCGCCCTTTTTAGCCGCTCATGACTTCCCCTATCCCGTATTGCGTTATCTTTTGTCGAATTCAATCTCGGGTAATGCTCAGATCAACGGGCAAACAGACGATCGGCACGAAGTTTTGTTGCACACTGCCCCAGCTGCTCACTGAGTGGTTGCTGTCTGGTCCGATGAGCTCGCTCTCGTAAAAGGTACTATTACCTATTTACGCTTGGCCTTCTAGCTCCGCAACCAGTGTGTAGATATGAAAGTTATTTGTTTAGTGTACAACATCGCATACACGCATTTATTGACTGCTACTTATTTATTGCTGGACGTTCCCAATCAGCAGCACACCATATAGGCAATATTTTGCTGAAACGAAGGCAAGACCGGGGTGGACTCAAGAGTCAGTTTTCACCTCTAGTGCTATTGAAAACGAGCAAATCCCCCAACTCTGGGTTCTTCACACTTAAAATTCGTGGCTGAGGCCGTCATCGGGTTGGAGGCCCTTCCCAGCGCAGGCACTATGTGCAGGCAGCGGCTGCAGCAGCAGCACGGCGCCAACAAAACCCACAAATCCCTTGCTTACAGATCTGATAATGGCTCAGAACTGAGGCTTCAAAAGTGACAAGAAGCAACTGCGAACGCCGGCAGAACTGCTGCTTTCCAGCAGAGAAGAGTCTGCTGTACAGAGGACGCACTAACGTATAGAGGCTGAGGCCATTCTCTGTCTCTGTCTCTGTTGTCTGGACAATGGCGAGACCTGACCTTTCACATCAAATCAAAGTCTACAAACTCCTCCTTCGGCGCAGTTGTAATGAACAACCAGCACAGTAGAGAGACAACTACTACGACCAAGCATAGAGCCTTCAAAGCAGGGCGGTGAAGCCCCAAGACCTCACCCTCTGCTTTCTTGCCACTTGAGAGAAAGTTAAACCCTCTCTTTGGTGTGTTCTTGCCTATGTTTGATTCATACTGCTGCAAACTGCCCAGACTCGAACGCGCATTTGCTGAATTTCTGCTAGAATAGGGCGGTTGGCACTGCTGTTGCTGGTATGGCTGGTGTTGTTGCTGCTGCTCCTGCTGCTGTTGCTGCTGGCTCCGAGCAGTGCACCCTACGCTAATGCGCTTCAACAAATCCTGGAGCTTGGAGGTGTCCGCATTGCCCCCTCCGTTGGCGGGGCCTGCCAAAATTTCCTCAAAGGCTTTTCTGAAGTTGGCCGCGCTCCACGAATCGTACGAAGTGTTGAGCAGGCGAAAAAGGCAAACAATCAGCAGCACAACGAACCGCAAGCAAAACTTCATAGTACCCATCAACCGTCGCAAACCCTCACAATAAACCCTATGCCCTGGGGTTGCCTCTGGTATCCCGAAGGACGAAGGGGCCACTCCGGGTCTCCTGCCACCCCGAGGGCCGGAACTGATATCTTCAAGTCTCTCCATACCCCTATTGAAACCACAGCTGGGTTCCTGAGGCTGCGGAGGGAAAGGCCAAGACCGTGGCATCACCTGCTGCTGCTGCTGCTGATTTTGCTGCTGCAGGGGTTCCAGTTGTTGGGGCTGTTCCTGCTGCTGTCGTCCAGCAGACTGACTTGTAGAGGTAGACCCCTTGATATGCTGATGACGCTTTACAGTGGTGAGAGAGTGGTCGTGGCCCTTGGGGATCCCTGAGAAATGTGACAGGCTTTCGATGCTACTTCGCGGCGGAGCAGCAGTCGACCCAGTGCAGTACGGACTGGCATTGCTGGCTAGGGTTCGCTCGTTAGAGGTCTCTGTGGAGCAGCAGAGAAGGGCTGCCCTCTCAATGGAGGCGGTTAACTGCGCGAGCTCCCGTTGATCGGAAGCGTCAAGTTGCAGAGGCTGGTCATCAATATCCACCAAATCAGCATGTGCGTTCCCAGCGCTCGTAAGCGGGTCTCGAACGGTCCAGCTGCTGCCCAAACTTCCTTGATTTGTCTGCAGCGGATCCTGAGGCTTCTGCTGCTGCCGTGGCCTCGGTAGTAAACTGCTATGGACGCTATCAAGCTGCGAGGAATACGTCGAAATACCCGCGAAACATTTTCCGTGCTGACGGAGGCCACCGTTAGAAAGGGTCGGCGGGGGTTGCTGCAGTTGCAGGCCCCTAGGAACCGAAGGGGCACGGCTCCTAGGTAAAGGGGGGCCCTGGCGCATAGTAGCTGCCCGCGTTGGAACATGCGTTGCAGTGGATGCAACGGGCGGAATGGCACTTCTGCACGGACTTTGGCTGCGGAGGCGGGAAGAAGGCGAATAATTTGACGGCGCAATCTGATGAGGGAAACCACCTCCCAAGACGTCATCCCCAAGCCCTGCGTTCCGGCTGCGGCGGCGCGAGCTGCTGGTTGCCTTCATGTAGTGTCTCTGAGAGCGCTCACGTGGCTGGGAGGCAAGGCTTGAGGAAGAGCGGCCCACTGATGGGGAGCGGGGAGTGTGGGCTCGAAGATTTCTGACGAAGTTCTGCGTCTGTTGATCCGCCCCGCATGCGCTGGGACGGCGTGCGGGAGCCCCATCGTTGAAAATGGTGCTGGTGCGCTGCTTTGCGGCAATAGTTTGGGCCAGGGCCCTCGCCGGCATTGAAGGCAACGGCATCTTGAAATGGACCAGGAGGGGCTCAGCAGCTGCGCCGAAACGCACAAACTGATGTGGTAGAATGAGACGCCTCTGTCAAACTATGTGGTGCTCCACTTTGGTGTTGCGGTAACTTCTGAGAAAGTGAAGCACGACAGCCGCAGGCGCAACACCCAGATTGGGAACCGCAGGGTTAAGGCAGTGCTGAGATTTCATTCGACCATATCTACTTGTTGCTGGAACTTTACGCGAAGCAGGCTTGAGACCAGTACTAGCAAGTGGACGAGTGCAGTTTCTGTCCTAGACCACTGGGACGCAAAACGAAATGATGGAGATGGAATAAGAAATGCCGAGCGAGGCCTCGGCGAGGCATCTTCCCGCCTCTGAGAAAAAACACACAGCATAGAAAGTGGTAGAAAAGTCAAGATTTCAAGTAAACGGAACTTTTTTGGAGAACCACCTTTTTTTCGAATGGGGCTGTGAACCTTTTTGACAAAATGGGGTGGGGTTGTGCACGGTGTTCTTCAGTGTCTTATCAGCCTGAGCGGAACATGTCAGAAAATGTTAAAATGTTACTTGCGCAGTCTAAGGTAATTTCTGCAGATGTTTTTTTCTGTTTCAACGTCTATGTCCCTTGGCCATGCTGCCATGTTGTCCTACCTGGCAAGCATATCACTGCTGCCACCGCGATGCTGCGCCTGAAGGGCTTTCAAAGAACCCAGACTATCTTCAGACGAATTATTGGAGATACGTTGATGGCAAACGATGTGGCGTATATGCTAGATGGGTTCTTCGGGGTTTCGGGCCATCTGAGGTGGGTGTATACTACGGTCAGCCCTGAGTTAACGCGTATCTTTACACTTGCACAGGCTGACTGCCTATATTCATATTTGATGCATCTAAACGGGGCTTTAGCACCCGTGCACGTGGAGTTACCTTGTAGCGCGAATTGCAGCGATGGCCGTAACGATAGACCGCCTCCTCTTAGCACCCAGCGCAGGGCTTCGTGCTTCTGTGCCCAGGAAGTCTGGAGGCTAGGTAGAGCCCAGCAGATTCTTGGAACATTTTTCGTAAGCACTTTTACCCTGTTGCACCTCGCGACCTCCTCATCTAAGGTTGAGGAATAGTTACACTTGTAACCGGGCGGTTGACTTGGGAATTCGCGTCCGCCGAAGCTGACCGCAAAACGTTTGTGTCCTGCTTCATAGCACTGATTATACGTGAAGATGCTCGGCGAAAATCGGGGGGAATTTTGAGTACTATCGCTGAGGTGCTTTACAGAGAGCCACCACTTGCCCGCCGCACAGAAGTGAGAAAGATCGGGATGTACCCCGTCGCTCGGCAGGCCACCAACGACGGTGCGTCTTGTCACAATAGACTAGGTGCTATATCTGCTTGTCCTCCAGCTGGAAGTATTTTTGCCCCGGTGTCAGTTAATGAAGAATGCCTCTCCGTTTGCCGACCAGCCAAGTATGACTTCGCAGCGATCTGGGGGTAGTGGACGAGTACCTTGCTTCTGTGGAAGCCTCCGCTTGTCTTCAAGCGGATGCTTGTCTTCAAGGTGCATCTGAAGACCCATGGACAATGGCGGCTATATCTAAACAATGGGACAACTTTTCTGCTGCACACTATGCGAAGCTTTTCGGCGTGCGCTGCAAACTCCGTTTATTTTCGTTTCCGCAAGAAAACATGCTATAATGAAAAAAGATGAGCTCTAAAAAGGAATGTTGTAGTTACAGTTAAACACCGAGGTGAAGCAGTCCATGATGAACAAAGGTCCAGTGGTGGACCCCGAACTTCAATGAACAGGCCTTCGGTAACAGGTTTGGTCGTGGAGACAGAATTCAGAAGTGCTCCATTATCTAGGCGAAATGATGGACTTAGAAGAGAAAGACAGGCAAAATCCCAGTGCTGCGGTGCTCGGTAAGGAGGAAGCGAGCATGTTTGGAATTTTGATCATGCACGAGTTGCACTTTGGCTTCATCAGTTCACCCAAACTCTGCAACAAGTACTTCAAAAGCAACGCCAACCTAGTTGTTGACGCACTCTCCGAACCATCAGTCAGGCACTGCGTCCTTCAATTGCTCTTGTCCGCAACGATTCACGTTGTCTTGCGCTTTTCTAACTCCTTCGGTACTCACGCGGGTGGGGTCCTTTCCAAGCTCAACGACGAGCGTCGGGCTCCCGTATGAACAGCGATCTGCACAAGGAATAGCGTGGGCTCTGCAGACTAGACTTCCTCGCTTTGCCTTTAACAGAAATGCTGCGTAAAGTGCGCAAAGCCTTGTCGGGTAATTCTGCGGACAACACAACAACAGAGCGGGCGGCTCGCTTCTTTCTGTGGCCTATATAATGCCCATACGCAGAAAAATGTATCCACACCTTTCTGGTACCTCAGAAGCACAATTGGTGGAACAGTCTCAGACCCGGACTTTTGCAAATGCTTCTAAGTGCAAAACAGATCTGGGCTAACCACCAGTCAGAAGCTGTGATACCAATTACTGTAATGAATTGGTACTACAAAAAAGCGTTTTATCTACAAGCATGGCAGACTTGCCGCTTTCGTTTGATTGCGCCCTGTAGCATGGTTTGCCTTGCTTTTAGGCGGCCCAGTCAGGGCCAAGTAAGCTTTCAACACTGCGTCACAGTTTTAGTACATGCAGAAAAGTGGGCTTGGTTGTGTTGGCATGTGCGCTTGCCTGGCAACACTAGCCACAGCGAGGTGCGTTCCTACTCACGCCAGGCTATCACCTTTCCCCCCCTCCGTTCCATTTGCCTGAATTGCTGTGTGCAGGAGACCAAAGAAATGGAAGGATGTGGAGTTGGTTGTGGACAGTCTTGTCTTCTGTATTTTGATTCTACTGAATATCACAATGGCTTCCGGATGCGGTCGAGGATTCTCACTACCACTGCGGATTGCTGGGGGAGGTCAGCTTTGGGAAACCCTTCCCACCTCTTTGGTTTTGGGGCTTCTTTAGTTGCTTACCACAGTGTGCAATGCAGGCCTTAAAAGTTTTTCTATTTGCATTGTGCCGCTAGGAGACAAGGGTTGGTCGGCCGGCCGCAAAAACCAGCCGCTAGCAAGTCCCTGTGGGGGGTGGCTAGCGGAAACTGGCAAAACGTCAGCTGGGTTTTAATAACTACTTTATCCTGCTAAGATGTTTTCTTCTTATCTAGTTTACCCCAAGCAAAGGCAGGACAGAAGGGCTGTGGGCTTCCTTCTCGCCCGCACGTCATATCACAGTTGCAGTCCATTGCTATCCCAACGTGTGTGAAAGTTCCAGACTCCGCCTGAACCCACTAGTGGGAGCTGGTTCGCGGCTGGGCAGTCATTGATGGCCCCACTGGCGGAGCCTTAGATCATGCAAACCAATCTAGCTACAGGGTACCGTTATGCACAGCCGTTTGTGAGCAAAAGTGTCAGTTTCTGAGGGTCCTGAGATCCCCAGGGCCCCAACCCCCCTTTAGTTGCCACACTGAGAGTAGTTTGTTACATATAGGAATTCTTGGACGCAAAACAGAGGTAACACTAGTTTCGGGAAGTACGAACTGGAGGCGACTAAGGTCCTGGATGAGTGTATGGCGACTGATAGAGGTGGTAGACAAAGAGAATATTACGCTATATAGCCAGGGTATCGACATTCCGTGTGGGCTACTAAAAAATACAAGCAATGAAGTTCTTCGGGAAAGCCTCCGCTCCCTCCGTAATACAGCAGCAACCGCAGCAAGCACGAGCAGCGCAGCATGACTTTGGCTCGCATACACTATTTGTAGACAGTCGCTGCAACACGGATAAATAGGGATCCATATATCTCTATCAACGTGCTTTGCGACGGTAATCGCTTTCCAACTGGGATCTGCGCCCGTACAGCAACGAGCCACCAACGGCTAGCTCGCCAGCGCAGCCCAGAATACTGTGGTTTTGTTTCTGGTGGAGCTGGGATCAATTTTTGGCTCTCTTGAGCCCCCCCCCACACATGAGAATCCAGCTCATCCTTTATTTTGATTGGATTGGGATGCCTGCCGTAAAGCGCAGGCCGAACTCTAGGCGCGCGGAAAGAGCAGCCTTGCGGGCAAGCAGTCCACATCATTGCGGGTGGCTGCCGCAGCCAGATTTTACTGGTGCCAGTGCCAGCAAACAAATGCTGCGCACGCATGTGAGCCTTTCCCAGTTTTCTTTGTACTTTCTTCGTTCTTTCCGGGTGTCAGAGCCTGCTAGGCTTTCCCTATTGGCCGTTGTTCAGCAATCGTCTGTTAGGCTGTCCGGTAGATGAGGTTCTGTTCTGTCTGGGATGCCAGAGGGGAAGATGCAGCACGGTCTCTCTGGGATTGTCAGATGCGTTTCTATAATCCTGACTGTTGGCTACTAAAAGCTAAGTAAGTGTATATCTGACTACGGAATCATTGCAAACATCGAAAGCGAGCTTCGGTATGCTCTCGGAAGATGCTGCCTTGCAACAGGAAGAATGCAGTAAGGATTGCTGCAACTCACGATACGCTGTCTGATATCTGTTGCACGTCCAAGCACTTGTACCGCCCTGCCCGGGAACCGTGAAGACTGGTGGGCAGTTCAGCTCCATTTGTCGACCTCTTTCCCTTTACTAGTTCGAGTCATTGCGCTTCACGACGCTCTTTTGCGAAGACTGAGTACTTCTGCTGCAATCCCCATGTAGCGCTCATCGATAGTAAAACACTACTCGACACAGCCACTCCAGGGAATAGTGGCTCCCCATCCTTGGCCCCGAGAGAAATTCATCATCAAGTGCTGCATGGTGTAGGGTCAAGCGGTCGAAAACTGGTGTTGTGGTGCTTCACAGCCTCCACCTTATGCAGGCTATGCAGAGACGCACCCACTCCCGGCGCCCATTTGCAGCAGGGACGCTGCTCAAAACAACTGAACACCACACACAAATAATTTGGTTGTGCACTGGGCAGGCGGAGCAAAAAAGCTTGAGTGTGGTTTCTACACAGGCAAGCCTTGTCTCTATCACCAGATTTAGTGCAAAGGATTGCCCTCCTTGCACTCGCCAGTCCTCCAGGGGAGGAGGCGTCAGCTAGAGTGTACTGTTTGTTATGAGTTACTCCCTCTCAATTAGTGATTCTTGCGCTTAACACGGTAAAATAAAGGAAGGCAATTCTCTCGTTGCACTACTATTTTGGTCTCTCCTACGCCCATGCTTAGTTCAGCAAGGCTTAGGGGGAGGCAGTTGTCTGTCTACGTTCCGTTGTTGGCGTGCGTAGCAGCACAAGTCTGCAACATATTTTGTTACGTTTCGCATCAGAAATGTCTCCGAACAGATTTAAGGATGTCCTGAATTAGAAGGCAGCGTTCCAGCGGCATTCTCCCTTCCTTCTCCTCCCCTCCTCTCGGCGTCGGGCTACAAGGTCAGAGCTGGGGACGGCGCATGCGCAGAGCTTCCCCCTTCCACCGCTGCAGTTTTCCAACCGTTTGCATCATAAATACTCCCGTAACCTCTTTTGTTTTTGATTCTTCCTACTGTCCACTGTTGTACTGTGGAATCGGAATCCCCACAATGCAAGTGTTCGGGTCTCAGGGATGCATGTGACGCAGCTGGAAGTTCCATTATGGCTAAGATCTAAAGACAAGAGCAGGCCTTGGGTGAGTTCTCAAATACGTGACAATTGCGATTCCATAGTCCTTCGGCTTTCTGGCAGGAGGTCAGTCCGTGCGTCGCTAATCTTTAGCGTGGGCGAGGTGGGCTAGCACTTCAAGCGGGGTAAATTGTTATTCCATTCTCTTTCTGTGAGCTGCTTGACAGCTAGGCTGTTCTGTGAAAAAGCGTTCCTTTTTACTGGCGAAGATGGCGATACTTCCTCTTCAACGGCCCGTGGGTACAGGCATAGCCGAATATCTTCTCCAACTCGCGCTGGTCCTAAGCATGCTGCCGGCTGCTTTTGCGGCTGAAGGACCGTCGGCGCTGAGATCGGCTGATAGCCAAGGGGGAGAATCTCAACAGGGAGAGCCACGTCCTAGGGTGCCGCACAGCAACACTTTCCAGGTGGTAGAAGACATAGAAGGCATGGATGGGGAACTCAGTGCAGAGTGGCTGAGCATGCATGCCCACCTGCCTTTGCTTAAACTGGCACTGCCAGCCACCTATATGAGTACATTGACAGACGTCAACGCTCAACGATATGCAGGCAAAGTTGAAGCGCAAGACTTGGGCGTCGTGGATCAGCTAATAGACGGGGTACGCCTTCTTGACGTCCGGCTGTGGAGGGATGAAAAGACGGCAGATCCTACGGCAGCCTGGTTTACAGGTTAGTATGCGGATCACACTGCACTACTGCTGCACTTCAGGTTGTATGCACTGATATCTTTGTTCAGCGGCTTCTTGCAATGCTTGCCCTATCCATTGCAAGCGTAGGCTTTCCCTGGTAGTCAGTTTTACGCAGGTGGTTGCTGAAGGAGGGCTTAAGGCAGAGGCGTTGCACTGATGTGAGATTTCTGCAGAGGTGCCTTGGAGACTTTTCGAAGATGGCGAACTGCTTAAAAATGCAGCGAATGGTAACTCAGCGGCATCTTTCACTTCTGCAGAATGGGAAGCTCTTGAAGTTCACAGCCGAACTGATCTAGTGGAGGGTCTGTTCAAGCCAGTCTTGCAGTTCTTACGAAAGTCTCCCTCTGAGGTAGTAGTGGTGGTGTTCTCGGCAGTAAATGGAAACACACACACTCATCGCAATATGATCGCGAAGGGCTCAGAGCTCGCCGAGTCGCTCGCGCATGCCGATGAGCAGCTGAAAGCATTTTTGCAGAGCGGGCAGCCCTACAGTGATAATGAGCATCAGGGAAGATCTCCTGCTCCTGCTGAGGCATCTAATGTGGTTCGAGTTGGGCCACACTCAGCTTACCAAAGCCCTTGGCTTGACAGCTTTGTAAAGAAGGGCGTGTCGTTCAACCACTTTGCGGAAATTACTCAACTTGTCGATTTACATTGGGGCCCATTGTTGCTTCACCACTCGGATGTTTTTGTTGACGCAAACAACCAAAACCAGAACATGAGGGACAGCGTCACAGATGCTGAATCCTTCAGGGAGTGGCAGCGCAACCAAGGCGCGGCGCTCCTTGGAAAGCCTATATCGGAGCTACTTGACGCTAAAGTGCGACTTATTTTGCTCGTTGATGATCCATTGCTGGCGTGGTTCATTACTACCAGGTCGCGCTCACAAGTATTAGCATTAGTCAAGGCGGATCACCTGTATGACGTCTCATACATGTCGGAGTCGCATTTTGCTCCGTGTGCCTCCCCACACACTGCGCGAACCGGTGGGCCACTATGAAGCAGAGCCATTCAAGCCTGATGATTTGCAGGTTCCCCCGTCGTGTGGCGGTACGTAGGGAGCAGCGGTGAGCTTATCACGTGAATACTGTTGGTTCCCTTTGGTGTTGTGTTCCAGGTGTTCCTTTGAGGAGTCGTGAGAGTAGCTGGCCAGCATGCCGTAGTTGGTGCGCGAGGGTTGGTCCTAAGGAGTGTACTTCTTGGTCGTGGAAGCCGACCGATACGGAACAGAGAGGGCAGCCTGTGAAGAGTCGTCGCGAAGGTGATCTCAGCACCATTTGGGAGGAGAGAGCCGACGAAGAACTGGGGAAATGCGAGCTTTTCACCAGGGCACCTGTTGAACTGTCATTTGAAGCAATCACTCAAGGAGTGGATTGCCCGAATGACGATCTAATGACGTCGGATCTCCCATGGGACCAAATGGCCGTCATGGGGGATTTGCTGCTTTCCGTTTTGCCTGTGGTAAAGATCTCGGCGAACTCTCGCCGCCGCAACATTCGAGGAGTGGGGACTGTGAGTTTTGGATTTGATTCACGAGTGTCCATGCTGACTACGGGGTCGGCAAGCGGCCACGAAGAAAAGTATGACATTTCGCAGAAGCTAATTCGCGTCCTGTTCGCCCCGCCAACACCCCAGGTTCGCATAGAGGCGTTGCAAAGGGCTGCCTACAGCAACAGGGGCGATGCTGTGAGGAAATTCAATGCTTCTCTCGCGGACTTCGTGCTAGCGCTGCTATTGAGGTATCACATTCTGGAAAGGAACCATGTCCCGAGTAGGCCTGTTAATGCCATTCAGTTAGCTAAATACCGCCGGATAAGAAGTCGCCTGGAGCCATTCGCGTCTGCGAGTTTCTTCCAGCACATGACAATCCTAAACCCTTCAGCAGCCATCAATCCCCACCTCTTGGCATTTCCGGTAAGCCGTTCACAGCCTTTGCCTGTCATCAGTACAGCTTTATCCTTGCTTCTGTGCGCAAATGGACAGTGGGTAGTGGCTAGTGCTGCAGTATTTGGATGTGCTCGGACCTGCCGCAGGAGGATACCTATGGAGTTGCGTTGAAGGATTCAAGGGTTGCAACAACTAACCATATTTTTCCACCACCTCATGGCGGAGCCTCCGTGACGATGTGGTTGTGCTTCATCGGAATAGTAACCGCTATATCTTTGTGTGTCTTCATATCTACGCTTTGGTGCACTTGTCATCCCAGCGGCTTCTTACGGAAGGTGTGCCATCGCCGAGCGACGGGGGGTGGCCCATCGGTAGCTTCAGGAGGCGTGGTCAGCTTATCTAACGTTTCATCATCTCCTGGTGCAGCTTCGTGAGCCCTTGTGGGCTTCTCTGTCCAGAAGGGCGAATTGCTTGTTGACGGTTTCTCATGTGCGTCCGGTGTAGCGCATCTGCTTCTCGTAAGCTTCATGAGCGCAAGGCATCTGGACAGCGTCACTAGTGGTAGGCAGCTGCGTAGGCGCCACCAGCGATTTTTTTACGCCATGATGAGTAGGTGCATATGGTGAAGAGTCTCAGCATATGCTGCGGTGCGTTTCGTGTTGGCGTCGTATTTTGGTCACTACATCAGTCAGACAAGTGCTCAGAGAGGTGCTCGAGTGCGATGCTCGCATGCGTAAATTCAATCATCATCTTTTGGAAGTGCAGCAGCTTTGCATCAGGACGACCTGCATTTGGCGCAACAGTTAGGTTTCTTACGTATGCAGAAGACCGGTGGAACGAGGGGCTCCTGTATGCATACCACTTGCTCGTCTTGGCAATGCAAACTTTGTCCTTGGCTGGCTCTCCAAGCGATATCAAGCAGTGAATTTGCTGGTTTTTTTGACTGGGGCTAAACATCATGAAGGCTGCAGCAGGTGGTCTACTCCTGATGTACAAAATGAATGCCTACTGGAAGAGACACCTTGGCTGCTGTGTTGCGCGGAAGGCCTCGTTGTTGAGGTGTGAAGTACTTTCTGTTGCTAATTCGTTGGTAATGTAGTCCAGCAGATGTGAAGTGCATGGTTCTCTGTGCAGAACAGAGTTGTCCTTGTTGCTTTGGCTGCTGTCGAACTACATGGGCAGCTAGGAATGCCTCATCCATACGCCATACACGGCAGGTGTCAGCTGAAACTGAATGTTTGTGCGATCTTAAATTAGAGGAAAGTTTACAGCTGCAACCGCTTTCGGCAGCCTTCAAGGCCTTCAAGTCAACAGCAAGATTGAGTTTGGAACTGTTTTACGAGCGTGAATGGGCGTTAGGTCAGCTGGCTCAGCTAGCACCTACGGCTCTTGAAAATTGCTTCCGTGCACTTAAGCGTCACTTTTTTCTCAAAGCAAATGAAATGCAGCAGATAGCGAGCAATGTGAGCTAATTTCCAAGCTAAGTTCCGTGATAAGCTCCGAGGCAGCTAACCCAAGATAGGGAACTGATAACGGTAGAGGGGTGGGCACAGCACTGCTTGGGTCGAACATTGTGACGACACAGTCCATCCGCGAATTAGTTTAGGAGTGTGAAACATTTGTTCCCCATGCCAGAAGCGCCACCAGGGGTTCGCCAACGACAAGTACAGGCAAGGGGCTGCTAGGGTGCCAGGTCCAAGGAGCAGACGGTATGCACGGGAGTTTGGGGTTCACAGTACAGTGTTAGCATCAATGACACGGAAGTCCTCCATCTTGTCTATGAGGCGTCGTGCGCTTCAGCAGAATCAAAAAAAGTCCCCAAGAAGCAGGTGGGCTCCCCTCCCGCAAGCAGGTTTCCTTCTCACAGTAGCCATGGCCCGGCGCTGCAGCCGAGAGGAGCAAGCACACCATGAGTTGCACCACAGTGCGCTGCAACTAGTGATGCGCGGCACCCTCGCGTACACGCACAACGAAATGCCCCTTTGTTGCATGCACCTACACTTTGCACAGTTGCTAGGCGCACACCATGCCCTACATAGCCAGTCTGCACGGAAGATATTCTTACCAACTTCGCACGACCATGGTACAATCACTATATAGTTGGGCCCGTGCTTCTGGAATTCCTACAGTTTCTGGCGTTTCCTCCGTGGTATTCTTTCCTGATAACATTATGTAATAAGGCTTCTTTGCCGCCACTTCTTAGCCTGCGACATGCTGCACCACCCCTGAAGACTGCTAGGCTAAGAACGAAGGGGAAGTAGACGCTGTTAGTACGAGCCACCACCTGCTTTCCATTGGCCTAGGCATTTAGGAAATAAGTGCAAGCTGTAACTAAGGTGCATGATGTGTAGCAGCGTGGAAAGATGCGCTCCGCGCAGACGGAAGTAAGCGACATTTCCGATGGGTCGAGATGTAGTCCCTCGCAAAAGGTGCCAATGCCTTTGGTAGTCACAAGTCCTTTTTCGAAATAACCAAACATTTGCTCCATCCATATTCTTAAGAAGGTGCATGGATCTACTTGCACAAAGAGCACATGTTGCTTTGGTGTCGCTGCTTGCCTGTTGCCCCACCGTATTTCCTCGTTGGAACCAGCCACATAGTCCCATGATCCAGAATATACCTGAAAATTGAATATCTAATGCATCTTTGCCACTAGACAAAAAGTAAGCCACGCGAATTAGGCAGCAGACCGACCGAATCGGCGTTTTTCATTCCAAGCAGAAATGAATGCGAATACACCGAGGCGCCTAGACAAAATTCATAAATGGACACTTCCGTAATAAAAATAGCATATGATCACCTCAGCTGGTTATGAGATAACTTTGGGGAGACTGACATCTTCAGAGTTAGATGCATCACTGCTGCTGCCGTCCTTACCCAGAGCCCGTTGTGCCTTACATGCTCCCTAAAACGGGCTCATGAGCTAAGTCAATTGCATTTCATGGATGTGGAACGTTGTTTTGAAGAATTCCCTAATATATGAAGAAAATGGTGGCGGAATATGCATCACGTAGAGGGGCGATCTCTTGGCCGCTGTGGGTCACCTTTCTCATTGTGCTGGCTCTAAACTGTATGTGCGCCAGCTGTTCAAGTAAGCAAAACATTTTGTTGAGTATCGCGCCTTGCGGCTGCAGAGGGTGCGACCTTCTCCTCGTTGCCCACCAACTCACACACATTCACAAGGGTAGCAATCAGCGCATCTCTCACCCTTTTGGCAATAGACCGTTGGATTAGCTTCTATGTAATGAAGTGGGCCCTTAGCAGAAGCACAAAAATGGAGTGCGATGCTCTCCTTTTTTGTGCTTCTGAGCTCTCCCGCTGACTGATGAGTGCCAAACTCGCGTTGGACCGCATACACACTTGTATCATGTTGCTTGTCTAAGTGCTTCAACTGCCTCTTCAGGCCTGCCCCCTTGGGCGTGCGGTGGGAAGGAAGGCTTCGTGAAGCAGTGTGGCAAGTGCGTAGGGGACACCCAATGCGAAAAAGGTTTGTTTTGCTGCCCAACCTTAAGAGTTTGCGTGCGCAATCGGGCTGACAGATGTCGCAAGCCATACAACATATGCAATAGCGCCTACAGGATGCGCAGGCCTGAGTACGCCGATGAGGTTACTTGGGCAAGGGAATGCGAGGGGCCGGGTCTCTTAGAATGGATGGCATGTCCGTAAGTGCTGGGCCAATATAACAGCGCGTTCAACCAAGAATGACGGTTTGAAGCCATTCATCCACAAAAGCCACGGGACCTCCAATGAATCGAAACGTCTCATGCGAACTCCGTCAGCCCCACCCCCCGCTTCCTCCTTCCCTCCTTCCTGAAGCGAGTTATTGTTTTAGGATCCACGGTACCTCCAAACTCTCTTGGGATTCGTATCTGAGCTGGCGGTTTAAATACAGCTGGCGTCTACAGCGCCTGCAGAGTCAGGTTGTATCCTGAGCTCCATGCTGCTTCCTAATCAAAACCAAGTAAATTAAAAAGCCTATCAGGCACGATGCTTGCGAATTGAAGGCTCGAAGATAGAAGAGGGCTCGGAATTCTGTACTACCTTACAAAGGAAAATGAAAGTTCATTTGACAGAAGCCTTCGCAAACAAAATTTGATGTCCCTTACAGGTGCACACAGCTGAATCAATTGTCTCCAAGGATACTTCACACCGACCAAAATGGTGTGCAGGTAGCAAGAGAGCTATGGTGAACTTGTAGAAAAACCTGAAGCTTCACCACTCCCCACCGTACTTCCCAGTACCGCCATAACGCGATCCTGACGTCAAATAGTCCTTACCCGTTGAGCCCTGAGTTTGTCGTTTCTGGCTCTCCAGCTTGGGGCACTGCCCAATACGATGGCCCAAACCACCGCAATACGCGCAACCTCTCACACCTCCAATTTCCTGAGTGTAAGCCACGACATCATAGTCATCTGCAAAGACTGTCAGCCGAAGCATGTGAAACATGCATTTCAAGGAAAACTTCCGTGCTAAGCTGCGTCCAGTCAGCACGCTGAAGGCATGAACGTGAATTCACATACCTTAAGGTTCAAGCCCCTGCTGTCTAGAGCATCAAGGAATGGAGGGATTCTCTGGCCTGCCTCGATCAAAAGCGCCTTAAGATCCAGGAGAACCGTTTCTTCAGAATTCTTATTAATAAAGGTCGTTGCCACACCCGTCCGCCCACATCGTCCAGTGCGTCCAATCCTGTGTACGTAGTTCTCGATTTCCTTGGGCATATCGAAGTTAATTACATGCTGGATCGCTGGAAAGTCGAGCCCTTTTGAGGCTACATCTGTTCCGACGAGCACGTCCTTTCGTCCCTCCCTGAATGTGAGATCTCATCATACCACAGATTCACAAAGAAGTGAACTCGGAATACCACAACTTCAATATTCCCCCCATTTGACTCAGTCAACATGTCTGACACGCATTCGACCAAATTTGCGCACTTGAAAAGACGAACAGCTTCGCTGCGTTCTTCTTGGGCAAGACCTCCATGAATCGCAACAGCTTCGACACCCTTTAACAGCAGATACTCCTGGATATCATCCACATCCTTCTTGTTCTCGCAAAATACCAAGGCCGGAGGCTCTGTCTTTTGCAGGCAATGCAGGAGATATGGAAGCTTATTTTCCTGCTTCACATATTCAACCTCTTGAATAACATCCAAGTTTGCAGCGCCTAAACGCAAACACAGCCGATTAGTTGAGCAGAGACACACGCGGAGCAATACAGACCACCCTATCCGCTAGTAGGGAAGGCACTTGGCTGATTACCGAAAGGCATGCCAACATGGAGGCGATCATATTCTGCCAGTGTAAGTTATACCTACACACGGCAATTCAAATGCATGCACGCATGAGCACGAAAGTACCCATTCGTACCTGCTCTGCCGACGTTGACGACTATAGGGTCAACAAGCGCAGACTTCGCGAACTCTTGAATCTTTCGAGGCATGGTAGCAGAGAATAAAAGAGTCTGTCTCTGGTGGCCAAAGCAATCTAGCACATTCCTTACCTCCTCTTCAAAACCCATGTCCACCATTCTGTAGCACAAGGGGCAGGACGGGAGAGGGGAAATGAGAAACTGTCGAGTATTATGTTTGCGACTGCCAGGAGGTTACATGCCTATACGGACAAGCCCCACCTGTCTGCTTCGTCGAATGCAAGGTACCGACACTGGCTAAGCCCCATTCGCCTCTTGTTGAGCATATCTGTTAGTCTTCCAGGAGTTGCCACCACGCAATGCAGTCCATTACGTATGAAGGCAGCCTGAAAAACAGAGTAATCCCTTGGGAAAGCACCTGTGGTGCCACACGAGCCAGTGCCAAGCCAATAACTAAAATACACGCGCGCTGTAGCTTGACGCATCTGCGCAAGCCGGCAACCCGAGAAGTGCTGTAGACCTGCTGCCTGGGTCGATCAGCCTCATGAACAGCAGGCGCGAATTTTCAGGGCGCTTCCCAGCAATACCCTGATACACGCACACACCTGTTCTTGAGTGCTAACACCTCCAATCATGCATAGGCAACGAAGTTGAGGGTATCCGCCTTCGTGAAGAGCAGTCGCAAAGAAGTTCACCACATCTGTGGTCTGGCTCGCTAGCTCCCGCGAAGGGCAAACAACCAGCCCCCAAGGACCCTCTCCTGTGCCAAAAGAGCATTCATTATATTTGCAATAGCTTCGACCAACAAAAAACAACCACGTTTACGATAAGAAACCCGTTCATCCTCACCCAAGCTACGAGTAGCATTTGCACCAGTACAAAGTGCGCACTACATTGCACGCCACAAACAAGACGAGGCGAAAAAAACAACCCCATTGCGACACAGTTTCCTACAGGGCGGCAGTGCAGAAAAGGGGCCCCCCGCCAGTGTTGGAAACTTGAAGTGGAGCATTAGATGCTCAGGACAACAGCGCGGTCCGCGTTCAGGTGTGTAAGATCCTAGGCATCTTACCAGCAATGTAAGGGGAGCGCAATTCCGACTCTAGAGCTCCCATAAGCATAGGTAGAGTGAATACGAGAGTCTTCCCACTGCCCGTGAAGGCGATACCAATCAAATCCCGTCCCTGTAACAGTGCTGGGATGCCCTGCGGTTGCGTAATGAAGCACCACAACTCTAAGGTGCATGAAGCGCAGCTTATAATGCGCTAAGCAAACGGCTGCTCCGTCTCTTGTATTTTCTTCCTAAAGATACGTGGTTTTTGCATGCTCCTGCCCAAACTCCGCGCTCTCTCTCTCTCTTCAGCAATCCGCCGTCTTACTTGCATCTGAATCTGGGTGGGTGCTGTGATGTTCTTCTTTTTCAACGCATCCAGAATCGGTTGGGGAAAACGCATGTCTTTGAAATTGCGGAAGGGCGGCGGCACATCTGTTCCATTCACGTCAACGAAGAAGCGTTCCCGAACCTCTTTGGCCTCTGCCTCCGTCATCTCACGATATTTGGCAGGCATTGTCCAAGAAGTGGCCATTCGCTTGGAATAGACAATACCCTTGGCCCGCTCCCTGACGCCTTGCAAAGGCGCTCCCAGTGATTTCGAAACCTGAGAGGCAAAGGGACACAATGTCCTTCTACAATCCATAAAATAGCGTTGCTTGGTCCGAGATGCGCTAAAAAGGAAAAACACAGCTCCCGCCAAGATTCAGATGCACGTAAGACGGCCCATTGTTGAAGAAATAGAGTGCGCAGAATTTGGGCAGTAGGAAAACCCTACACGCTTGTATTCTGCAGAGCATGAAAGAACCATGTATCTACAGCAAGAGCGGCAATACGTCACTGAGACTATGTGCTTCTGGCGGTTCAACTAGTTTCCTCGCACCTGTTCCAGGATCCGTTGCTCTTCCTCCTCAATTTCCTGCACAACATCTTTTTTGTTCTTTTCTGCTTCCTGCCGCAACTTGCGGCTTGTCGCGAGGAGGGTCTTTCTAAAGTCGAGACGGGCCTTTGATATGGCTGCATAGAGCACGAGGACCCCTTTCACGGATTGTGCGCAGCTCCCCAACATTCCGCTGATAAAATCTGCAAAAAGAATTGTTAAACACTTTTACAGGCTACTGCATTGTTGCGCTGCTTACCTGCTTCCTTCTGCTTCGCTTCTTTCTGTTTAGATTCTTCATCTTGGTCAGATTCAGTGAAGCCAGGTGCCCCCTCCTCTGTTTCCAAATGTATATTGAGTGCCTGCAGCTGCTTTTTCAGTAGCTGTTCGCGTATGGCTTTGCGCTTTTTTAGTGGAACGTATTCCTTGGCATCTGCAGCCTCAGTTTCCTCGAGTAACTTCTCCAGCAAGGAATCATCTTCATCCACCTGTGTTCTTGGCCGCTTGCTGAAGCCTGGTTTCACGGCAGAGCATCCAGAACCTGCTGCGTCCAATGCATCTGCGATAGAGGGCAGAACATCTGCGCTGCCCCCGCTGCCTTGTACAGAGTTCGACGCGACCGGGGCCCGTGAGTCACCGCCGTGGTCCTCAACGAGCCCCATTGCAGGAGGCCACTCCAGGGAGAGCAAGCAAATATACCCCTCGCGACTTTCCTGGGAGGGAAGTGGAGGCTAGGCTTGGATGGAGGACTCGATAAGCAGCAGCTTCGATGCCTGCGTCGTCATCCATGTGGTGCCGCTTAATTTCCCTTCCCACAGTTGTTTCGTTCACCAGCTTAAGAGAACTGTATAAACCAGCCTAATAATATATAAAGGCCTGAATTTAGGAGGAAAGAAAGCTTCTGACGAAGTTTGGAGCTGATTTGTTGGTTCTCAGCCCCGGAATTGCAAGCTGTGTCTTTCGCAACTTCCCCAGTTACTTCAGCAGCATGGCCGGCCACTAACTTGCATGTGCGCAAAGCTTTTGCAACGAGTGGGCAAAAAAAGAGCATTCAACCTTATCTTTTACACAGAGTCTTGTACTATGAGCAAGCAACGTCAGTACATGCAAATGAAAGCCCCAAGCAATCTCGGCGCGTATTGCCTCTGCGTACTCGCTTCACAGGGAGTTTCATGTAGAGAAACATTCGATTACCTGGTCCCATTTCGCTTATTCTTAATATCGGAGATGGGTTGTTACTGTTTTGTTACCCCTGCTAGTGAAACTTTTGCCTTAACTGTTAGTGGTTAGTTGGCGGGTGAGTCATGCACTTGGTCTAGTAGAATTCACTACAACCCCCAGAGTTATTAACTGTATTGACGAGACTCCTTTGAGTGAGATAGATGCAAGATGTGATGCTGCTTTTGTTGGATGATTCGCTGAACTCAGCCACAGCTGTAGCATGTCCGTGCAATTCTGGTACAGGAGCACATGCTTGGCCTTAGTAGGCGCCTTCACGGATGCAAAAGTAGAGCAACTGTATACTGCACTAGCCCAGACAGCAGAAGGGGGTTTAATTTCGTTTGCAAGTGAAGGTGCCTTACAGCATTTGTTGCAAGAATGTACGCTGCTAGCTCGATTGCAACTCACAACAATCCCCGGAAAAGATGGCGGGCAGATCGTCGGTCTATCGCGAACAGATCGCGGACTCACGTTACCCACGATAATACCGCATGGGTAATTGGGGAGATTGGGACCAACGAACGCCACCCCCACAACACGGCAGGAGTGTGTATAGCAGTGGCTAGTATGGGTGCTTCAAAAAATGCAAAAAATGTCTGGCTGCTCTCCCCAAATCTATCAGAGCATCAGCCCTTTTCTTCTGCAGCATAATGGAGTTTGACCAGAGTTTGGCCTCTTGTGGGGAAGCGACCAGCAGAAAGCAACGCCGTCTCGTTGAAGCCAGCTCAGTATCTGCATCTCACGCAGCGGAAAAAGCATTTACAGAGGAGACACTTCATGAAGAATGAAGAATGCCTCCGCCTCTGCCGAGCCTGCAGGTAGGATGAGTGCTGCGAGGCGGAGGCAAAGGAATTCCTTGTTGACTGCTAAGCTGTATTAGCACCCTAGTAGCAACTTTTGAAGCGCGAGAATGATTGCAATAAATAGGCAGGGACACCATTTTTCGGGGTTGCATCCGGACTATGGAAGCCTTCCGGGGAGCGCCAACAATGCGTTTATTCTCAGGGTGATAAGGGAGCAGGTTATGGCGAAACTGAGAAAACGAACAGGGGAAGCTAATGATAGAGCGCTGCATTTAGAACCAGAAGTATGTCGTGAACAGAGGTCCAATGGTAGACTCGGGACATCGCTGGCTCATAGTAAGGCTGTCCCCTGGAGAAATGCAACCGGAAACTGAGCTGCAGAAAGGGAGCTAAGTGGTGAAAGGGTTGACCTCGCAGTTGTAATGGGATGCTGGCGTAACGAGGACAAAAAAAAACGCCACTTTCACCGTCTTATTCGAGACGCAGGAAGGCGCAATTAAAAATGACCCATGTTTAGAGACCATGGATAGCGGGGCTACAAATGCCAGCCCCATGCACAAATCTAAAATACGGCAACCGGCGTCAGACGGGAAAATGGACACTCAAAAAGCCGGAGGACAGTACCACGCTGCGCATCTGGTTCGTTTAGAAGAAAACAAGCTAGCATAATTCGAGATTGCTGGCGTATAAAAAGGACGAACGGACAGGAAAAGCAAGACTTCGACGACTGCCACCAGGGGAACAAATAAAGAGATCAGGGAAACGCCCTGGCCTCCATGCAGCGTTCGACACAGTGATGGGGCCGAAAGGGGTGACAAACGAATGCTTGGTGTGGAGCATAGGCAGGCCCCAGAGAAGAAGAGAACACCAAGATACGAGACCGAAAGTGAAGTATGCAGGGACGACGATAAGACACTCATCCCATCAAGCGAGCCGCACCCGCAGAGAAAACAAAGAAGGTACCTTGCAGATGCGACGATGAAACCTATATCGAGCCAGCGACCCCAGACCGCCACTATGATAACGACATGCAGAACCGGAGATATCCGGAAACGATTCAGCACCTCAGGCCTGTTATCCACATAACTCCTGAGAATGGAGAAAGTATGTGGGGCCTCCTCCGCCCACTAGAGATGGAGTATGAGGAGGTGGGTATACAGCGCGAGAGGTGGGGAGCTGAACTCCGTAGACACCTGAAGGGGAGCGCCTTGAACTACTGATTCTATTTGCTGGATTCTAAGGGTGACGTGGACAACTGGGACCGTGTCAAAGCAGAAATGCTCACAAGATTCTGTGCGGTGTCACAACGAGAGACAGCTGCACAATTGGCCAGGGATAGACGGAAAGGTGACCCCACAAGGTATAGCGCAGAGTTCTCTTTGGTCTTGAGTCGGGGAGAGCCCTTGGATCCACAAGCATTGGTGGGCATTTTCCTAGCTAATCTACCAGACGGCATCCTCTTAGCTGTGACTAGGGACGGCCACAGAGCCCATTCATCCTGGCATGAGGCGCCTACGGAGCTGAAGTCGATCGTAGGCACGAGAAATGGAACATTAGAACAGGTGCAAAGAACCCTGCTCACTTTTCGGGACGTAGTGCGGCGAGCATGGATACACACTGGGGTGATGCAAGGAAGTGGAGAAGGGGGCAAAACCCGCGAACTACGAGACGACAGGGGAGGCACATGTTATGAGTGTAAAGGCAGGGGTCACTCTGCAAGGCGTTGTCCCCCACGCTTTGAAATGTTTCGACGAACAGGGGAGATATGTAGGAAGTGTGGAGGTATGAGGCATTACGCTAGAAAATGCCCAACGAATAATTGCCCGAGGTTTGCAGCAGAGTGGAGACATGGACGGCATTCCAACGCTGGCCGCATACAGCGGCAGCGGCAGCGATGCGTGTTGCTCGGCAGCCGGTGTGCGTCTTGCGATGAATGCTAAGGAGATTCTTGGTCTTCCAGAAGTGCAAATTCGATCCAGTGGTGCCGCATTATCATGGAATCCTCTAGCCAGCGGAGATTTCCAGGCAAACTGGAAAGCAACCCACGACATTGCAGCGCCTTGGGGGCGAATCTGCCATTGGAGGAGCAGCAAGAATCTCTTCAGCATTCATCGAAAGCGTACTTGGGAGAGCCGCAAAAGGCGAGCACTCGCAGTGCAATCTTGCCTGAGAGGCCTATTAGCCATTTCTGCGCATTTTTACTGTCGGGTGCGGAGAGATGGCCAGTGGTGTAGTGCACTACAATGGAGCTAATGTAGTATCCTTAGAGGCCTAGTCTGACGAAAGGGAACAATTCAAATATAAATATACTTATATTGGAAAACCTTAGATAGAAAAGTGGTCAACTTAGCCAGAAGTGGTCGTCCACCTGCATGAGGCCCAGGGCTGAGCGTGAGGCTGACGCATCGGTTCTGGCTCCGACCGCCTTTGAGGGGGTCAGTCAGTTGTTATTTTCTGGGTTTTCCCTAGAAAATAGGGAGTGGAATATGTTTTGGAAATTATTATTTGATTAAATGGAACTTTTGTGGATTGTGCATAGAGGATAGATAACAGATGTGGAGTGTGCAGCCAGTAAGGCATATATACTTACAGACACAAGTAGTAACAGTGAAGTTGAGCTGTTCAATACAAGTGGCCACTCGTCGCCCTCGGCGATTTTCGTTGAAACACATGGGCTAGGATAGTGACTTGCTTGTATAGTTTATTTCATAGATGTTAAATATTAACTTCAATATAACCATTAATTGTAAATGAAGTTTGCTGAGGTTCCATCGTGTCTTCGTAAACTCTTCGAGACACGTTTGAGTGTGCAACGCTGGCGACACGGGTCTTCGTTGTCAGATATGATTCTGCTTCTTCTTGCTCGCCTTTTGTTTTTAAAGTATCAATTTAATAATGTAAATGCCTTCGTTGTCGTCTTCAGCAAAAATAATGGCATTGACAGCGTCAGCGTCGAGGCCCACACTTTCATAGTAGGTGTAGTGCGCAGGCACTACAATGGGCTCTCCGTTGAGCCTCTGGCGATCTAATTCTCGACAAAGCACAACAAATAGAATATTTAATATTAAATAAAGATTTTAAAGTCCGAAATTGTGGCCAATTAGGCTACGAATGTCCACAGTCCTTACGGTATAGGTGCTGGCTGGTCCGCGAAGGCTCGGCCCTGGAGGGTCAGGCGGGCGCCAGAACCGCCCATTAGAAAGCGTGCACTTAATAACTGGAACGGGATTTTGGTTGTAAAATTTGTGATTGTGTGTTTTAGGACCCTTTAAGGTTTTGCCGTGTTTGGTGATAGATATTTGTCATGCACCTCTGTAGTGCAGTCTAGGGTAACACATATTAGCTGCCGCGGATTAGCGTTGTTCACTGCATATGGGGGCTGTCCCGGGATGTTACGACCCGAGACCTCTGGCACTTATGTTGAGCCCGCGTTTGCGGCTGTTGTTTAGTTGTTTCGTAAGCAGATCTAGCTTGTCTGAGGCCGTTCAACGCATGCACCTACGCGAGGGGAAGATCCTAGGCGGAAACCAAGGATCGGAACCAGAAGGAAGAGAGCCGTATTACAGATCAGAAAGTGAATTGGATACAGACTGAGTCAAAACGTTTGGTGGGAACGAGAGATGACAAGTTGGTCAAGAACTGACAGATGCGGCATGAGTTGGTGCAAGCGAAACGGAGAGTAAAGAGGGCAGTGGAGGGCCCTTCGCTAGTAGAGAGAACGAGGGTTGGGAAAGCCAACGTAGGTTATGAAAGTAAATGCACAGGGGCTCTGTGCCTAGTACTGACGGGAACTAATGCCATCCCAGTATCCTCGGAGTGAGGGAAAACGGTGATTGGTCCGGGCAGAATCGTCACGGCAGAGGCTGCCGAAATTAGAGGGGACCAGCAGACATTGGGGGCTCAGCTAAGGTTGAGGAAACTAGGGGAGAAATGGATGAAGCAAGGCGGGAGCCACGCAACCTCTGCGAACGGGGAGCAGAGGGACCAGACGAGTCCAACAGCCCGGGAGACGAGGGTGTTGTGGCGCCATGGCGGCGAGAAGACGGGAGGCAGGCGGAGCCTAACAAAGACGGTATATTGTGTAGCGTAGGCACAACTGTTGATCTAAGAGTGGACGAGGCCGGGAGCCCAGGCGAAACGCTCTTGGATACGGGGGCCTCTCGGAGGAGTTTCATCAATTCGCAGACAGTTGAGCTTTTACAGCTGAAGGCGGCGTCCTTCAGAAGAGTGTGTGTTAACGGTGGCCAATGACGAACAGATGCGCATTGATCATGTCATGAAATCGACGACGCGTTGTGAATGAGAGTGTTCCACAGGAGATTTCTTGGTTTGGCTTGCGTCCTATGATGTTGAGTTGGGGCTTGATTGGTCTACTGCGCTTAGAGTGTCGTGGTGATTTTAGTCGGATAAGTGGCGTACTTACGTGAATGGGAAGTGGCGAGAGCTGCCTGGAGCTCGATCAGTTGCAGAAAGGCAGAGGGGGCCGCGCTAAAGAAGCGCGCCAGAGGGCCCATGCAGAGCATACATACGACATATTCGCCAGGAAAATGGCGGGCATGTCACCGGAGGAGGGTGCAGCCATCCTACGGCCGTCACCTAAGGGGTACAAGGCCCACGCGAGGGCAGGAACGAAGGTACGAACGGAACATAGTTCAGCAGGCCAAGGCAAATGTGCAGGGACTGTACAGCATACTGGCTTTTACCTGAAACCGGGGAGGCATAGGGGGCACGTCTCATCGTTGAGCGGCGAGGGGAACCTAATAACAGGAACGGGATTTTGATTATAAAATCCGTGATTGGGTGTTTTAGGGCCCTTTAAGGGGTGTTTGCTTGCGTTAGATATTTAGTATGCACCTATGTAGTGCAGTCTAGGGTAACACGTAGTAACAGCTGCGGGTGAGAGCTGTTCACTACATTGGGGCTGCTGAAGAAATATGATGTTCAGTCTATTGTGACGTTTGTTCGTGCATGCAGGGCCCAAAACCCGCTCGAGTTGGTGTGTGAATGCTGCTTTCCTCTTTCCTGTGGAGATGGGGATAATTGCAGTGTATTGCCAGTAACGACACGCTTCAACTGAGAGCAACTTGTAGCGTTGCCATGCTTGCGCTGATTCGGTTGCTTCCTTTAGCATGGCATGTTTGACGTCGATGCGGGCACTTCTGATCCAGTGTAGGCTGCCCCCTGAGGGCCAAGTAAGTGTCTAACAATTGTCTACTGTCTACAGTGTTCATATATGCAGCGAAGGAGGCTAGGTTGTGATTGCATGTGGGGTAGCTGCGCATCATGAGCTAGAGTGAGGTGCGTTGCAAGTCATGTCAAGCCGCCACCTCCCCCTTAGCCCGAGGGCCTTGTCTTGCTGTGCTTAGAATACCTAGAGATGGAAAGGAAACGTGACAAGGTTTTTCCAATATTTGGACTGTACTACAGCCCTCAGTGGCACTCTGAGTCTCTCGCTACTGCTGGCGGCTTGGCGGAGGTCAATTTTGGCTAACCGTTCCTACCACTGTGGGCTTAGGATATGTTCTTCTTTGTTAGTGAAGTGTGCAACTCAGGCCTTTTGAATATTAGGATATGGCGTTTGTGGCTTGGAGGCAGTGGCAGTTTGCCAGGCCTAGATGGGCTTAGAGAGGCGCCCCACTATAGCGTGGTGTGCCTATAACGTGGTGTGCCATGAACGCTTTAATGGCTGTAGTGGACAGAAATCGAGGAGCATTAAGCTCCTCGATTTCTGTCCACAACAGCCGTTAAAGCGTTCATTGTATACAGTATATATCATTGTATACAGTGCAGTTGTTTATGAACATACCGCTCATCGTTGCAACTCATGTGTCGTCAGGAGTCCTCTTCCCCAGCTCCACACCTTCAGACTGGTGAGGCCAGAACATCTGGGGAAGGTAGAGGTCAAATGCCTCTTTAGAAGCCTTACGTTGAGTCTTCTGAGTTGGCTTCAGCTCACTACGGTCGTTGGAAGTGAAAAATCTAATGCTTGTACTACTCTTTCATATTATTTACAAATTTATTCTGTAGATTGTTTTTGTTGACGTTTAGAGCTCTTGTTACAGGAAATTATATATTATTAACACGCATTGTTTACAAGTGAAATAACTCATTTCGAAATTCACTCGTCGCAGCCTTAGGGATGTGATGCGGTGGACTGCGAAGAAGCCGGTCGGGTTAGAACAACTTCTTGGACCTGTTAAAAGACTTCCTTAGAAGCTGATTCATCCTCAGAAAAGGCAGGCCAGAAGGGCTGTGTGATCGCTCATCGGCAACATCCCTTCTCCTGCCTGCTGTTCACCCCACTGTTCCAACCCGCTGCCAACCGTGTGAGGAGGTTGGGTAAGTTGGGTACCCTATCTTAACTCACCAGTCGAAGGTGTTTCGCTGGTGGGGCGCGGCGGGTGAGCTGTTAAAACCCAAAGAGTTAATGGTTACCTTTTTGTTGCACCGCTGGTGAGGATGAGGTCCATATCGGGGGGCCCTGAGATCCCTGAGGCCCTAATCATCTTTAGCTGCCGTGTCGAAGGGAGTTTCTCATACCTGCTGAGCTCCGCACTGTCTTTGCGTGGTAAGGGGCCCCTGTCTCTGACAACCTGCAATTATTAAACTCCTTAAGGCATGATTTGAGCACTGCACTAGGGAAAAGAGCAGAAAAAAAACGAGGTCATGTGAAGAGCTCCCAAAACGCTGACCTTACTTCAAGTACCCAGGTGTGAAGGGAGTCCTCGGCCTTATCCGAGTACCATTGTGAGCCACAATAGTCAAGATTCTCCACATAAAAGTTTCCCAAAATCATCTGGCCTCCACTCCAATCCTCAGGCTGCCTGGACACACCACCCCAAGCGCTGGAGGAGAGGAGGTGCCCTGAATGCAAAACACTTCGTTGCATATGCAAAGCCCAGGCAACACCACCTGTAACCAAACCATGCCCCCTTTGCTCCATACCACTGAAAGCGACTAATAAAAGGCTTCTTTGCCCTTTAGCAGGCAGATTGCAAGAAAGTCGAAGTACAGGTGCCAGCCTAAGACAGCCCATGATCAAAGGAACGATTCATTGAACACGGCAAAACTCCAAAACTCCAGGGCTGGCAATAGGAGCCTCGCGCATAGTGGACATTCGCTACAGCAAGAGTCCCCAAAAACTCGCCGAGATGAAATTATCCGGCTCTTTGCAAGCCGTATGCTAGCCCTTCTACCTGCTGAACCACTTGCGTGTACGCAACACTGGCTCTCTATTATGCGCATACTGTGTGGCCAAAAGCGCGCGATAGCAACGATAGAGAAAGCGGTGCCAAACAGACGGAGTGGAGTTGGGCACGCAAACTTCAAAACCCCACGATGATCACGCAAGCAAGTTTCCCAGCTCTCGGCAGAATACGGGCTACCGTCCCCTCTCCAGACGGTGCTGGGTTAAACAAGGCTAAGCGGACCAAGCGCAGGCTAGTCGCAACTGAAAGAGTTTTCAGCTGTCAGCATGGGCCGCCTTTCTTGAATCCCTGCTTGTTGGAAGACCAGAGAAAGTCAGAAATGTTGAAGAGGTGCGGGCAACATCACCGGACTGCCGGCAAGTGTCCTGCTAACCATTGGAATGCAATGAGCATTTTGCTGTGAGACACTGGGCCCGAAAGAAAAGGAGTGGCACATTCATAGACTGCACCAACTCTGAACGCAAAACAGCTTACATAGTATCGCCGAACCAGGAACACTCGACCGTTCGACGGGTTGCACTTTCTTTTGTCTCCCAATAGCTGCACAGATACCTTCAGGCTCGCCGTTTTTCGTGGGAGTCCCATCAGCATCTACTCACTTCGTGCTTGTCGCGCCGTCAGTAACGGCCCACGCCTTTCGTGCGCACCGCAGAACAGCCACTGTCATACAGAACAGGGATAGCCGTCAATTACCATGTAATGGCTGCTGCCTCCTAGCACGAATAAGATATACTCTTTCACCAGTTCACTGAGATCACTCGACTGTCTTGCAGTTGCTGATCACATCGGCGAAACACCCCGAACTCGCAGTTACCAAGGAAGATGGCGCCTACAGCTAACGAGCTTTCATATATACCTGCGTGAAGCAAGTGAGTTCGCTTTTACGCGCATACGTGCTGGATGCAGCAGCGCATAACCGCAAAGGTAAAGAATGCTTCGTTATACTGTCGGTGTAGGCACGCACACACTAACTGTATAACCGCACGATGCTCACAGTTGCAGGTCCAACTGCACTTCACCAGACACCGCTCCGTCCGCCGATAGGAGCCTACGCAAAAACGCACCCCAAGACTTGCTCTTGATACTCTCCGAAGATTGTTACTCTGGGCTGCAGACCCATTGTAATGAAGCGGTTGTTAGTTCCCCTGGCTACACAAATAGTCCACCCACATCGAAGGTGGCACCGACCCCAGGAATGTCCACCTAAATCGGTTGACGCTGCAAAGCAGCCTGTAACAGCTCATATCGAGCTTGCTCGCATGAGGCTACCCAAGGTACTTGTGCCTGTGGTTTGTCAAGATGTGCGTTGTTCGTCAGTCGTACGCTCGTGAAGGTCATAGCGAATGCTGTCCTTCCCATACTCTCCTGCGCATTTTAACTGAGACCTCTTAAAGGCTATTGCTATATTTTGTCGAGTAGTTTATTTAGTTAGCCCAAGCTGAAAATTTCCCTTTCATTGGTTTCATGGCTCTTCAGTGGCTGAGTATGGTTCGCTTGAAGCCAACGCTAGCAGCAGCTGTCTCGCGGTTTTCTCTTGTGCAGGCACTGCACGGCATTAGCAAGCAGGATACCATGGCAGTATTTCATTGTTTGTTGATAGCTCGCTGGGGCTACCAGCGGGCTTGCGCCTGCCACTCACGTCGTTAAAAAATTGCGCTATGAGCTTGCAGCCAACGCGCTCAAGAGAGTTGCAGTGCGCCTTAAGCGGGAACTTAAGCGCTCACTCGCACGGTTTGTGCTGGAGAAGGGCAAGCCTCCCACACCTGGAAGTACTGCCGAAGAACCTGCGGCGTATTGCTGGCGTCTGGTGGTTCTTTCTTGAGAGCTGTAGACCTGTAGGAAGTTTCCGGAAACCGCAATTTTACATCCTCGAAGGCAACAGTACTGAAGGACAGCCGAAAAAGGTCTGCAGGAACTTCTTTCCGTATGCATTACGCCTACTACACAACTCCAGCGTCTTGGGAATCTGCTGTTGGCATAGACGAGCATACACCTTCAGCAGACAGCCATGGAGGGTGGCGTCCGCACAGCGCCAACACTGTATGTAAGTGTGGCTTTACTACTGCTGGCAGCACGAGTTCAGGAAGCTGTGACTACTTTTCACACAAGTATAAAAAGCGTTCGTCAATGCGCAGTAGAGGCCTGCATCAGTAACCGAAGCGAAATCGCACAAAGAAATGAAGCAGACAAAGCTAGCGATAAAAGAACATGCCCCATGCCCCACGAGTGCTAAAAGATGCGTTGAATGCATACCCGAGTAGTGCTCAGGTTGTCGACGTCGATTTCGAATGCTCCTGCGGGTAATAACCACAACCAAATTGAGGTCGTCGTTTAACTTTAGAGATGTGTAAAAAATAGTCACAGCTTCCAGGAATCTTCGCTTGTGAACTCGCACTGCCAGTAGCAGTAAAGCCACACACAACAATATTTTTGTGCTGCATTTCACCGGAGGTGAATTGCCTTATCTAGGGCTATTGCCGCAGTACAAGCAAAAAGCAAGTGAATCGCCCTGCTTCAAATCAGATTGTCTCCTGGGTGAAAACTCCTTGTTGGTAATAAAGGTGTGGAGGTCGCTAACTAAGTCTAAATCCAACAACTGATGGGCACGTTAGCAACAAAGCCACACGAAAATGAAAATGCGACTTACGCGAAGAGCCTGGTCCAGACTGGCGCACGATGGGGACAAAATTCTCGTCCCAAACCGCTGTGTTGAGCCGCCAGCTGTTGCACATACAGAAAAAGAAAAGGATGCAGTACACCTTGAAAAGCCAACATGACTGTTCTTCGTTGAAACGAGCAGCCTTCCACCGACGGTGTGACGTAGAGGCGGAGACGCGTATAAAAAAGCTCGTCCTATGTTCATCCCGCGGAGCCGTAAATGAACACAGGCAGCAGGTGATGCGCGCTGCCGTTTCCCGGTGAGGGGAACCTACCTTCGGCTGACTTCAACAGTACGGGACGTCCTGTTATCAGTGAAGGAGAGCAGAGCAAGAAGCTCGTAGCATTCTCCATGGTTACGCAGATCCGCCTCCGTAATATCTCTTAGAGGACTTCCAACGTCACGCTGATCGACCTGCAGTTAACACATGCATCATGTCTGTAGAATTTCAAGCACAAAAAATGAAGATGGCAAGATCACTCCACCACAGCAACAACAAATGCCAAAAATGCCAATAGAAAATCCGGGAAGCATCCGAAGCAGTGCAGACAAAGTATCCAGACCGGGCCCACTGTGCTGCGCTCACTGTGACAGTAATTGGCAACGCCATGAACTCCAATGGGGTGTCGGTGTGGAACATGGAGAATTGACGAATTGAAAGCCCTCCCCGGCGGTGCACCTACACATAGCAGGTTGCGGCGCCAATCAAACATAGGCTGTCCTCGACGATCTATCAGTCGCACGCACTATAAGCAGCGTGTTACGAAACAAGTTTCATAAGGGATGGGGAAAGGCTGGCTTCACGATGGTCACCAAAAAGAATAGCGCGAGCTTCGTGTTGAAAAACGAGGTCTCCGTAATGTTCAACATGCGAAATGATATCCGTAGGCCCTCCCTCGACTCTGCAGGAGCGTGCGTGAGGCAAACTCGAATACGGTATGCACAACGGTGGCGACTACGGCAAGAAAGTACTACCAACTTTTACCACTGCTCGACGGACCAGGCAAACCACATTTAGGAGCGTCTTCGTTGCTTTTAATAAGCACTGAATCACTGGACGGGCGAGCCAAGTACGTATGACTGGGGATGTTTCCTTGGCACTGATGCATGTCTTTGTCCTCGCTGCTCTGTGATGCGTGATCACTCGCGTTTGGCGAAGAAGCTGTATACAGCCACAGCACCAGAAAACGAATTTGAATCTTCAGGTACGCCCCATCAAGTAGTGTGCTTCTATCCGCAATGTGCAATCAGCAGCTTTTTGTGGAATTCTTACACTCGTCTTCACGTATGCCTACGAGCAGTGGCTCGTGCAACGGAGCACTGGGAGCCCCCGACGGGTAGTGCATGGAGCTCCCCGACACTGTACGCTGGTGTGTTGATGCCGGCGAATTGCTTCCGTTGACGACGAATCTGTTGCCGGACGACGAGGGCTCGTGCAGTGAATTGCATTTGCTTCAAAGGAAGAGCATGCAAGCAAAATGAAATTCGTGAGATGCAAGTGCAGTGCATATCGAATCATCCGACTAACGTGCAATAGGTCCTGGGTAATCAGACCTGCAAAATTCTACAGCCAAAGGTGGCAGCAAACAGACGCCGAGTACCACAGCCTTATGTGTTGTCATCTGTTGTCTCCTTACCCGCTGGAGACGACAAGTCTCTGCGTAAACGCTAAGGCCCATTTCCTCCTTGCTGCGGAAGAAAACTTCTGGAACACAAGCCCCAGAATGAGTGAATTGAGCAGCACACCCGTGACCACTATCGGGGTCACCATGAAGCTGGAGATACGACATGAAGGGTACCTACGAAAGAACAAGCCGATCCGAACTTGAAAATTTGGCTTCCAGTAATAAGCCCACTAAGCAATAGTATCCCTATAAGTTATAGGTTCAGCTGCCTTTGCGTATCCGCTATCTCCTACACAACGCGCGTACAGATCTTCCCCAAGTACCTGGGACTTCCATAGCCGATTGCGAACATCGTTTCGACAACAAAGAAGAAGTAATCCCAGTTTGAATTCGAACTTCCAAGGCACTCATTTGCGTTTGCTCCAGTGGCAAGAAACAAAATCACTGTAAAGTGCACACCAAAGAAAGCACACGTGCGCAGGCGCCTCAACGGCCAGAGGCTAAGCTCCTGGCTCGCTGAGATCTCTTGCGACGATGCTTCTGCTTCGGAAAGGGAGCGAAAGAGCAAAACTGATAAGCAATCGGGATATTTACTAACACGAAAGAACTGCAGCGCACATGACCACCGTGATGAAGACGAGGGCAACCAGCGGCAGCCATCGAAGGGCAAGAATTGCGTGAAACCTGTCGTTAATGAGAAATTCAACATAGCCACCAGACCGTCGGAAACGGTGTTCAAGGTTAAGTCCTCCATCTCTTCTCACGAAGTCCCTTTGGAAAGACAGCGTGTGTGTGACAGGTGTTTCCTCATCTTCTGGAAATTCCACGTGGAAGGAACGAACCCGCAATGTGGATCCCCATTCGTGAGGTGTTATGTGCTGCATTCCATCATGTCCTTGGGAGTGAAGCTTCATTGCGAACCTGACCCGGGTAGCTGCGTTCCGCTGATGCTCTACGTCGGCGATGCCGTAGGTTAGCTGTCCATGCTCCAAGTTGCCCATGCAAATGTGATTGTCTCGAACTACACGCCCCCAACGGTGTTATACCTCATTCAGTGGATGAGCTTGTTGGTCTCCTAGTTGAACGCGTTGACAGATCCAGGCGTAGTTGCGCACTGTTGTCTGCAGCGCATGGCCTAATCTGATCTGGCTCAGGGCAAATAAAGAACTGCCCACTAGGGTCAAGATAAGGGTCACGTGGAAAATTGGCCTTATTTAACTCCAGGAATGCATGCCCATAGCTGGACAATTATCGCATTCCGGTCGCCACGGGACAGCATGTGACACCATGCCGGTTGCAGCAAGCGAGCATCGAGAGCGAGCCCCCACCGGCTGAAGTGGGAAGCAAAAAAAGGACTACCCTAATAAAGATGAATTTATTTTTCAGGTTTATTAGCGTTTACTCCGTCCTTCTGTATCAATGCGTTGAAGAGCGAGGTGTTAAAGCCCCCGATCTCTTCGCTGCTTGAATTTGATGCGGCAGGCAAGGGTGATATGTTATTAAACCATTACGCAGGACGCAATCCGTAAGCTCGCGTTCAAAGCTCTCATTTCCAGGCTGAGCCAACGGAATGGCCTTCTCTTGAGTGTGCAAGCCCTCTATACACGCGAAGAGGAAACGGCGGCTGCCGGTCGTACACAACGGCATGCATGTGCTCGCGTGTCCCAGCGGTGAGTCAATCTAGCGGCCACAGCTTGGGCCTTCGTATGTCATTTCGCCTACATTGGAAGTGAGCACCTCTATTTAAGGACATACCAGGCCTTCAAATGTTCCGTGGTACGCTTGCGGTGCCGAGGCGAGTGTGATGACTTCACGGCATTATTGAGCACTTTGCAAATGGCGCTTCCGAGGTTAACGCCGAAGTACGTTGAGCGCTCATGTTGAGTGGAGTTCCTGCTCCACCTGGGTGTACGCGGTAGGTCTACCTCTTAACGCATTGTTCTCGTGCAGATGCAGCGTCGCCTTTCCTTGCTATCTACCCACCTGGTGGACAGGTTCTCGCACCTGGTAACTTCGCCGTATGTAAACACCTGCATATGTGTATGCAATGTGATCTTTTTGGGTACTGAAAGTACGAAAAGGCCTTCATGTGATGGGGGTGCTGCATTTTTACCACCCATGTGGTTGCCCAGCCAAATACACTCCTTCGGCAAGCTTGGGGGCTTTGACCATCCTCTTGCTTTGCTGCAGACATATCAGAAATTGCCATGTGCTAAAGCAAATGCTAGCCAACCCCACCCAATCAACGACAAGGTGTGCCCTGGATGAAGGACAGCGCAATGCCTGTGATTGATAGCCTGCAGCAGGGAGTGCCGCAAGGAGTGGTGACTTGGAAAATGGAAAGGCTTCCATAGTTTAAAGAGCCGGCAGCGCCATACCTCTGAAAGTTCCTCCTGAAGACAGTAATGACAGTTGCCTGAATGCGCTGTAGGTGTGAAATCAAAGCTTTTCAAAAGGTTTCGGGAAATGACCGACGCAGGAGGCGCTTGCTAGAGTTCGTTCAGCTAGTAGATGCTGCCATGCGGAGGATCACTTGTTTCGCACGAACGATGAGGGTTCGTGGTAAACAGCTGATCCCCCGCAGGACAGAGTAGAAGTAGTGGAGACAGCGAATGCTAAAGAAAACAAAATTTCCCCTTCAGAGTCCCAGCATTCAGTTCTGCGTTTTCTTTTATTGGGAACCACTCTGGTGAGGGCGGAAGGACGTACAGACGGTTGTCCCTATTTCCTGCACTCCCTACATGCAGAGAGGCATTTTCCGTAGCTGGGCAAGGCTGCAGAGTTCTGTAGTATCGACTTGGCGTGATGGTTTGAGTTCTCGAGGCGGTGTTGTTTCAGCCGTTGGGAAACGCGCACCACTGCACTTTCCGCCGCCTTCGAGACAGCTTTGTACCTCCTCTGGATACATGCAAGAAGGCTGGAGCGGAGAAGACGTCCAGAGCCCACTTTCATTTCCGCAGCGGTGCCCCAGTAAATGGTCGGGCAACCTTTTCAAACCAAGGCTGGCGGCGCTGTGTAGGCTAAATGCTAGCTACTCACGGACAGGGATCGTGAGACGAGAGAAAAACCCACTAACCGCACGACACACACGACAACCAGATCCATCTGCTGAATAGTTACCAGACACCTATGTGCGCATATGGTTGCGAAAGCCCCAAGCATTGGGTTACAAAAGGCATAGGGGGTGAAGAGTGTTAGTCAAACGCCAGTGTAGCGTGAACGAACAGATACAGTTCAAGCTGTACAGAACAAAACTACACGCAAGAGTCTCATTTGCGCTGGTCCTTCGGTGCATTTGCGCACTGGCCAGATACCACCGCACTTTATACTCTTTACTGCAAAGAAGCTGGCATAGCGTGCCGCACTAGTCACGTCGGCGCGTGGGTGACAGCAATCTGCAGTGTCCTTGACAACTAGGTCTTCCATCGCTACAACGTCATACATCCTATTGCGATGTAGAAGAAAATAAAATTAGGAGTAAATGCTTTTGACGCTGCTGCAGAGCCAGAAGATACTTCGAAATCTCATGATCTGTCTGGGAATGACTGACGGAAGGCGCATGCAGCCCTAGACAGCCACAAAGCCTTCGGTAACCCAATGCTGGGCTCTTTCCCAGTCATAGCGCTATAGAATGACTAAGACAGGCGGAAACTGCAAAAGGAATATGAAAAAGAACATGCAGATTAGCTAGAGATTTGGGAAAGTTAAGGAGCCGAACCGGCTAAAGAGGCATAGACGGCCGATGGTGGAGCGCAGCATAAGCAGCTTCGATCATCCTGCTAATAATCGTAATATTCTTATGACAAACTTCGAGTAAATGGATCATAGCCGAAATCCACAGCATCCCTCTGAAGGGACCAGTCCTTCCCCTACTGGGCACACATTGACTCCTCAGGAGCAGGCACCCATTATTATTCTCCACGTAGACATTGACAATGGTGTGACGGTATCGACAAGGTATGCTAGAGACTCTGAAAGCGCCAAAGTAGGGGCTTTCCTCGGTGCGCCCGTCACTCGGTTCGCTTCTCACATTTTGGCCGAAGCAACGTGGGGAACAGTAAATTCCGCAACTGGAGAGTGGTTTCCTGTAGGTGTCCCAGTCACAGGCAACTTTTAGAGTGCTAAGCATAGCTACTGTCGATGCAAGTACTCAGGGAGTCGCCCATTTGCAGGATGGATGCGGTGTGCACCACACGCAGCTGCCTCGATTTTGGCTGTGCCCGCCTGTCTCAGAGGGGTGAAGATGAGCATACGGTGGAAGAGGGCTTGTCGTTCGGCGCGTACTTGCGTCTTCGTTACAAAAATTCTGCCAGACAAGCTGCAGATGCAAGCCCCATTCCCTTTTCCTGCCCTTGTAGTGTCTGGGAAATGGCACGGCAAGCTGCTCCGGGAGAAATTCAGCGCATAACGAAAGACCTTTGTCTCAGTTAGAACAAATGCGCTGAGTGAAAAGAAGAAGCACCTAAAACTAACGCTGTCGGTGCTTTCTGAACGCTGTGGAGCAGGTGGAAGAGCTAGAGCAGCGGCTTCAGGCCTTCGGAAACTGTGCAAAAGTAAAGCGGAAGGCGCGCATGGCTGGTAACCCTAGAACGAGTGCTGATAAAGTAGAAGCTGCTATAGGGGCTCTCCGTGAGCGTCATCGCTCTCTTCTGAGGCGCTTAATGCTCCCGCCAACTGTTTGCATAGCTTTGGGATGTGAAGCGCCTGACCTGAATAGGGTACTCGGCTGCGAAACAGAAGCTGTAAGCGAACAATATCCGCATCATGTTAACGTTTCTAAGCCTTGAGCTTTCCCCAGCTCACCCAGTGGGCCAAAACGATAGAAATCGGGCAAGTTGGCAATTGTGGAATCACAATGATTGCTTCGCTGTATCTAACGATTGTTCAGAAGCCTGTTTCGAAATCTAGTGACACCGTGCTCCTTGAGGCCGGCCACGGAGAGGAGGAAACTGTTTCTTTAAAATGTCTCTCTTCACTCCCCCTTCAGCTTCATGGCGGCTACTGGAGTATAGCTCCTTCTTTTTTGAGCTTGCTTTTTAGCCTCGTCAGGACACGTAGAGCCTTTCGCCTAGTGTTTCACACCCGCCGTTCTTTAAGCAGCCCAGTCCTCCAAGCATTTCTTCGGGAATTCAACTCGCTGTGCGAAGGGAAACACCCGGCGTTCGATGGAGAGAACCGAACAAAGCAGGTCTGCCGTCACCAGCTGAACTCCCCGTTAAAGGCAGGGGAGTAGGGAACCCTGGAGTAAACGGGGCATGGCCCTGACACTCTCACTTGCTGTGCCTCCGCGGGATACTGCAGGTTTTTTTGGATGGCACCCACGGCAGTCCTGACCTGCGCATTTCCGATTTTGCCATGGGGATAATGCACGTGCCAACGGTGCAAGCTGCGGGAGAAAGCAAAGAGCGGCAGCACTGCTCCAGCTCGCCGCTGCCCCATACCCTCGTTATACCTGCATCAAAGCGATGTTACAAGGGTACTGACGAGGTATTTGCAGGCCTTATTTACCAGGAACTAGAGGAGCACAAGGCCTTGTGCATCTTGCACAAGCCGATGGAACTCCCCTGCGCAACTGCCGAAAGCCATCAGGCGGTGGCCGTTGCAGGGGACTTCAACAGCTCATCCACCGCGGACGAATCTTCGGCAGGAAGTGGCATCACAAATGAGTTCGCAACACCCGGTGCTTTAAGGGTGGAGGGCGGCGCCAACCTTTCATGCACCACTCCCCTGGCAATCTTGGCAGATGGACAAGACCTGACGCGTTTTCACGTCTGTCTCTCCTCTCCGGGGATTCAAACGGTTGTTGACGGCGTGTCATACATACACACTCTCGCGCCGGTTGACGTTTTGAGCCAGAAGCGTATTACGCTTAAACCTGTCTCATGGCGGGAAAACGAGGAAGGCGAAGCATGCAGTCACCAAAATTTGTCGTCCGATGATGACGTTTGCAAGAAAGGAGTTATTGAATGCGGGATCGTTGCATCGCACATCGCTCCTAGCCAGTGGGAGTTTCTGGCAAGCTCTGATTGCCTAGTGGCGGCAGTTGCAATATGCGAGAAGAAGCGCCTGCAACTTGCGACAGCCAAACACCTCTGCACTAAAGAACAAATAGCTGGAGAGAAGATTGTGACTTTGCGTAGGGAGTACAGGAGGGTCTCTGAAGAACAGAAAAACCAGGATGGCATCAGTGAAATCGGAAGCATCTTCCTGGGACTTATTGGTAGCTTAGGTACCCATAAACTACCCACCAGCAAGCAAACGCTGCTGCTCTCGCCAGATATAGCTTACCTTATGGAAACAGTCGTTCCTGTACTGTATCCTGCTCTAGAAGCCATCCTTCGAGACCGGCCAGACGACCCACTCGTGCACCTTGCATTTTTCCTTCTTAGGCATTCCACTGGCTATTCTCGCACAGCAGCTGCCCTACAGCATTCCGGGGCAGTCTGAGATCCTACCCACCCAATGTGGTTCATCATTGAAGGTGGGAAAATGACCGTTTTTCCACTCTAGTGGCAGTATTCTTGCTGGGGCAAATTTACCTTGCCCCGCAATTGTTGTGGGGATAATACGTCAATATTAGCATAACTGTCTGGCGATGCGATGATACTGTTTTGAGAATAGAAGGTCGGTATCAATATGCTTTCCTGACGTCGCTTTTAGATTGGGTATACTGCCAGTAGAATTCGTTGATCGCCTAAGATACTTCTCAGCTTAGCATCCGTACACATACGTTACGAAACCGGTATCAGCGACAAATGAAGGAGGCCTTCAACTAGCATATTTTGCAGCATTTGCGAACGCAAGTGCAGGTAAAAGCGTAGGTCCCGCCACTTTGTTCAGCATGCTATTAACCCCAACTGGTGAGTCCACCTGATCGTTCTAGCCCTAATCAGCAATAATTTTTAGAATGTGGATAACTGGCCGAACCACTCGAATCATTGAGGTTTAGGCGTGGTGAGCTTAGCAGGTAGCGGGCTGTATATCTATCCAAATTTCGCTGCTGGCGGCGTCTACTGCAGAGCCGAGAGTATACGATTGCTTTTCTCATGGCGGCAATATGTTTGAGAGTTCCCGGTAACGCTGCCTGCAAATCCTGTTTGGCTGCCTGTAGGATGAGACATAAGTAGCCAGACTTCGTGCCCGCCGAAGTGTTCACAGGGATAACACTGATTGTAGCCAAGTCTGCGCAGAACGTAAATTTCTCTCAACAGGCATGGGTAAGAATCCACGGGAACGTAGATAGTTTGAGCGACTGCAAATCTAGTATGTATTTTAAAGCAGAACCTCTCATTTTGTAGAACAAGTTCCTAGCTCCTTCAAGTATCTCAACCACATCACTAACTTTTTGGATTTCGACACCATGGTTTGCCCTTAAAAAGGATAATTGACGATTGCCGGTTGGACGCGACAATCTTTGGAAAGCCTTCTCGTTTTCTTAGAGGCTTTCAGGGCGAAGTGGGCTGGCTGTCCCCAGCTCTTGAATAATTGTCATGGGCGCCTATGCTTATTGCAATTTGATCATGGATTGACAAGCTGCTCGATGCAGCAACACCCCCCGCATTGCCTGGTGAGTAGAAACCACTGAGCGCCAGTCCTTTGCGTGGTTCTCCGACAATCTTGCGAAGTCAACGGCCAGGTGCGTTCTCCTCCGATGTTTACAGCGTTGTGAAACATTGGTATTACTGTGCATTAAACTGACTCACAACCGACCAAATGACCCACTGCAATGAGTGTAACTTACGTCACTGGGGAACTCAGCATGTAGGCTGTGCTTGTTTAGGCGCGTGTATAGATCGTTTACTGTCGCGGAGCAGCGTGCTTATCGAATGCTGGCCTCTGGCCAACGTCGATATTCCCTTGGTTCAAGGGGACCTGCAACGCAAATCCACGGAGAAAAATGGAGATTGGGCAAACACCAAAAATGCTTCAAGCCACATCTGTCTTCCTGGCCACTGTCGGGGTGACAGTCCGCAGGGCCTGGAAATGAAAAAATAATGGAATACCGGTCCTAATCACTTCAAACAAACTTGTTTGCTTCCTGTTCGGTCTTGTGACCCAACGAAGGGATGCGAAAAATGACCCGTTCCCTCTAATGCGGTTTTAACGGTGGCGTTAGAAGGGTCTCTGGTGATATAAACATTGCTAATTAAGTGCACTGATGAGCGTCTTCCCTCTTCCAGCGTACGGAATACCACAGGGATGCATTTGGTGCTACGCGAAGAATTAACGGCCGACTCCGCTGTTGCACGTGCCCACTCCAGATTGTTACAAATATGCAAGCTACATCAAAACCACAATATCGGAAATTGATGTGTTGGATCTTCAGAACAGTTTTTTGTGATACTTGTGTAGGGAGACAATATGTCGCTGTTCCTGGTAGAAATGCGCAGGCGTGCAGCACCTCCCTCCGAGCAAGAACCCGTGGCCGTTTGCATGGAAAATAGCTAATGTGTTCATGCGCACTTCGCTTTTGAGGAAGGCTGGCATCCAATACTGTCTGCATACCGAGACCTCCTCGCTTCTGAATGAATTGGGTGATAATATACTTTTACAGCCAGCCAGGTGAGCCGCCGCGCAAGTACTCGACGAGCGCTTCCTAATGCGAACCGAATCCTCTACATACTGTTCAGCACTTAACAGAGTCGGCAAGACGGCCGAAAGAGTGAGTAGGCGCCGTGCTAGGAAGTCCCTACTACGCCTTGCACACGGGTTTCTCTAGTCCACAACACTGCTACCAATGTTTCGTTAGTTCCACACACGCACCAGCTGCTACTTACTGTGGTATTGGGGCATTTTACTAAGAATGTTTTCATTTTTATGTGCGACCTTCTCCCGTACCTCATGGCAGAGTATAGAGCACGCCACCACATGCTGTGTGTAGCCCTAAGCCCTGCTATGTCGCCGCTGGCTCTCGATGAATAAGAACGCCGGCTCTAGCCTTCAAAACCAGTAAAATTTGATATTTTTCTCCATAAATAAGCATGTCGGCGCTGTGCTTGCGGACGCCAAGCCTGCTCCGTAATAGCGGATCATGGATGCTTGCCCTAGTCGGCTTCCCTTTTATTTCGAGCTGCATTCATTTCTGCGTTACGATTCCACATCAATTGCGACTCTGTGCTCCATAGATCTGGCGAGGCCTGTGGTCTCCAAAAACTGCGTCCCACGCATCCCACATCCGGGTCACTGCGCAGACACACCACCCTCACACACCACTCTGTTCAGTGGTGGGAGTTGGCTGTGTGGTAATCAAATAACAGACCAAAGTAGAAACTATTATATTTATTGCCAATAATATGCTTAATCCCAGTAAGACGTAGATCCTGCTGCCACTGGCAATGCCGTTACGGGCAGCAACGGGTCACCAAGGAGCGAGATCCGAGACATTGCGGCAAAAACAACGGGGTAGCTGAGGGAAGGACGCATATAGAGACTGCCTCACAGCAGGCCGGTGAAGAGAAAGTGCAGCCAATTTCTCCACGTTTGGTGCGGAAGCCACGCTGCTTCGATGGATTCTACCACCAGCTCTCACGTCAACCTTCCGGGGGAGTCCGAAACAGATCCCCCTACAGAGCAGCGTGTAGGTCATTAGCTCCCGATGAATTCCTTCTTTACTGCTGCTGCCGCGTCTAGCGTTAACAGTAAGAGGCTTGCTGTTCAGTGCACGTTTGCTTTCAACCGAGCCTGCGCGCAAACAGTTCGACGGAACAATCTATGTTTCCTCCAGTGTCGCTTGATCCTTTTTAGCAGGAAGAGCGCCCAGCTGGTGGATTTAGGAGTAGTTCTCCCGAAGCCTCCCAGTTAGGACAGCTGCAAGCGGAGCACGCACAGCACTCAGACGGTGATTGGACGAAGGAGGTGGAGGACAGCCAGCAATGTACTCAGAACCCAGATCCAGACGGCGAACAGGGAGGGGGCGACTCATTGCGAAGTCAACATAATTTCAGCATTCGCACTTCTGCTTCCGCCAATGACGAACGGCAACAGCAAACGATATCTGTACCTGTGGGAGGGAACCAAGTTGAAAGCAAGGAGCAGCAGCTTTCACAGGTGGAAGAGCAGTCAGAGACGAATATAGGGAGAGACGCAGCCCAAAATGAGACCCAAAGACTTGTGGAAGACGACTTCAGTGAGCACCATATGGAGGAAAGGCAACACATCGATGGACTGCCACGCGAGGATGGTCAGCTGGAGACGGGAAGGGAACAACCGGAGCAGGTACAGGGACAAGTTCCGCAAGCAGATAACATGCATGCTCCTTACGCAACAAGCAATTCAGGAGAAAACCAAGAGTTGCAGCAACGCCAGGGTGAAGACGGGCAAAGCTCTCCCCTTCAGCAGGACTCCAGTGAGATGGGGAGCCAATTTCCGGATCGAATGCAAGGTGAAAACCCTGTACAGGAACAGGTAGAAGAAATTCACCTCAAACCTCCACTTGGACAGCAGCCGGAGCAGGACGACCATGAGGGTAAAGATATTCATCAAGACCGACACGAAATTCCAACAGATAAAGCTCAGCTGAAAGTAGAAATTGCACAAGTAAAACGTAACAACGGTGGCCTGGAGGCCAACGCCCCCACAAACGCTGACCCTGCTGCCCACCGACATACTCGCCGACCGAAAACATCAAAGCGCACGAAGAAGGCGCAGGACCCCCAGCCTGCCTTTGATGCAAACGCTGAGAAAGCTGCTGCATTGAAGGAGACGCCAAGGAAGAGAGCAACGGAAGTTTTGTTTGATGTAAAAACAGCCATGGCGCTGAAGAGTCTCTGCGCGCTGCAGGTAAACGTGGATCGGGGTGTCTGGACTTTAGACGTGTATAATAGTAGAATCTTAACCAGTGCACGGTTGATGGTTTGTGTCAATGCTCCCGACGTTTTGGTGGACAGCAGCAAGCCCCTGGCACTGCATCTTCCGCAAAGCCCGGAGATTCCAACGAGCTCGATGAGGTTGAGAAATGTTTTGTTTTTGAGGAAGATGAAGTCGAGGCGCAGGCATTAGAAAGTACAATAATGCACTAAATGAGATCGTCAACCTATATGGAATCTGCAGGGTTCAAGAACATCTGATAAGGCAAAACGCACATGCTTATGCGTGGGCCAACTTATTTCGTTCATTGCATTTTCTCCGTCATACACTTGCGTTTGGTGGTGTTCCCAATGCAGAGGAACGCGCTGACAGGCTGCAGCGTGTCGAGTCGCTTAGAACTGTTGCAATTATACGGCAGAATATCACAGCGAAGAAGGCTTTTGAGGATCTTCAGGTTCGCAGGAATAGCTCAATACTGACAAATTTCAAAAAAATGTTTTTTAAGGACTGCGTAGTTTGTACTGCACTACTCCACAACCCTCACCTAATATCCAAGTCACAAAAATTCAGCTGCTTCTCGGGGTGTTCAGGAAGCGCTGACAAGCGATGAAGTGGTCGTTGGCTTTGCAGAAGACGTTGGCGAAGAACGGAGCCGCTGGGTTGCAGCAACCGGAGAAATGCAGGAGCAGCAGAAAGAACGCTTGCAGTCCCAGGCCGACCGACTTCGACAGGAGGCTCAAAAAATACGCGACAGGATTATACAGCAAGTTAAGAATAAACAGGCCGAGTTTCAGGAAGCCAGAAAGCTGGCTGCTCGCGAATATGATGAACGAAGGGTGAATCCTGCCTCACCACCATGTCGCATACCCTGCCGCGTGTAGCAGAAACGAATAAAGGAATAACTGCTTTCTCGCAACTTTTACGGTTGCTGCCAGCAGCATTGTTGCTTTCGGTGCTGCAGGCGGACATGCAGCAAACCCTGCAATCGTTCCAGTTGCGCCTGGAGGCAATATTACAGCACCGGCGGCTACAACTGCTGGAGTCCTATGGATTTCTTCGACGAGACTTTAACACGACAAATTACTCTCTCAAGGGGAAGATTCCTCGAGCAGCCAGCGCTGCCTTGGGCTTAGAGCGTAGGGACCTATCGAATGTTTCACACATGACAGCCAGAATCAACAGGAAGATGAAGCGCTCACTTTTCAAGTGATGTTTATCAAATCTCCTATCTGTTTACGAAGGAGGCTCCGAGGGACCAAACTGGAAGACGATGCCGCAGACACTGCGGCTGCGCCTTGACCTGTGTCGAGCTGTGAAGGACGGCGTCCCCAGAGGGCAATACGTAATGATGGTCTCGGTGTGGAACCGACTGGGTACGAAACGCGCAGCCTCTGGACATTTACATGCGCAATCACACCTGGCAATTTCTCTATGCTGGTCGCAGGACAGTGGCCCTCAGCACTGACGAACAGGCCCTTAATTTTAAATTCCTGCTGCATTGGGGAAACCAAGATTGTAGAGTTTTGTGTCGGGATGCTTCTGCTCTCAGGCGGCCACCGGTTAGTGTGGAAGTGCCTCAATAAAGAGTTCGCATCTTCTGAAGAATCCAAACAAAGCGGAGGAGAGCACGCTGCCTTTGGAAGTATTCCGTGCACTTTGGCCACAGGGTCCTGCGCTGTTTCTGCACCTGTGGCCTTTGCGGCGATGTACTTCAGCGAATGCCTAAGGTTAGTGTGGTGGTTCAATGCAGGCATCAGCAAATTATTTGATATTCTAGAGGCTGTAAATAAAGCGTCTCAAAGCCGATCAAGCGGCGAAAATGCGGATCGCCTCTATTACAGAGCATACACGCACAACCCAACAGTCAGAAATAGGAACACCTGGGCAGATTTAGCATAATACTTGGAGACATTGTAGATCAGATACGCTCAAGCCACTTCACAGTGCAACGTTTCACCACACTGCTGTTGGGGAATTTGACCGTCAGCTGCTATTGCCTGATGGCAAGAGCAAGGAACAGCGAGCGATAGTGAAGAGGTAGTATGGATGAAGCATTCATTAAGGGATGCGTAGGGCATCACAGAGCACCTTACGAGATTGAGCAATATGAGGGAGCAGTCCCGTTTGAGGACTCTGGCAGCAGTCGGCAGAGGCGTTGCCCTTGACGCGGGTTTGCACACAGGTTTGACGAAACGCTGTATTTGAATTGCCCCTCTGAGGCCGACATTAAGCCATCCATGTGCTTAGTGTTTCAGCTGTACCTCCTTCGTGGTGCAGTCTCACCTGTAGACAAGGTGCGTAGCTCATGGCTAGGTGCATGGTAGAGGGCTGTAAGTGCATTGAGCATTCCTATTCGCTAAAACGCTTTGGAGGGGGACCACTCTCGAGGATAAGAGAGCGAAGTGCTCGTAGTCTACTTTCACGAAGGGCCGCAGGTGTCAAACTTGCGGGACGAGCAGTCATCCTCTTGGGCCTACTGCCTAGGATTAAACTACAGGAAGGTTGGTGCGCTGTGGAGACAAACTGGAATTTTAGGTTGTGGCTTGGGGGGCGTTTCCTTTGGTCGATCCTGAATGGCACATTGTCGAAGGTTCTTTTAAAGTAAGTGTGTTGATTTAATTCTTGCGACCCTTCAATCTTCTGAAGAGCCCTTTTACTGCAATTCTCATAGACGATGGAAAGACGCACGGCTGCGATGACTGTAGTGACTGCAACATCTTGCGTTGGAGCAGCTGATTGGTTTTGCTGCGTAACCGCAGGTTCCTTTGTTTTTAGGAGAGGTTGATACTTCTATTCAACGGTATCTTGAGATGGAAGAAATGCTACGCATGCGATTGGACAAATGGCTTTGCAACCTCTACTTCCGCATTGTCCGACTGCCGAAAGAGGTGGATGGCCTTCAGGAATTTGAAGTCCCTCTTCATTATACTGGGCGAATGCTTAATATCCCAGATGAATTGCCTCTCCCCGCGGAAATGCGCTTTTCATCTTCCATTCGCAGCAGCCGCAGCATACGTAGTAGCCGTAGTAGCACGGGTAACCAGATAGCTCCTTTTTCCTCCGAAAGTTGAAACTAAATCAGGTAACCGGCATATGTGCTGTTGGGATCACCTGGAAAACTGCTTTATTATATGCTTGATAAAGCTACTATGGTACGTTGTGCTAACTATTGCAGCTAGTTCAACTGCGCAGCGGATCTTGCGGAGCATGCTTATGAATAGGGAGACTCTCGAAAGTACAACAGTATCTCGCCCTCCTATTGCATTGGGAAGACATTTACATTCCCGCAACGGAGGAAGTTAGATACTCACTCTGGCAAATTTCTAACTTCCTCTGTCATGAAAAGGCCAAGCACTGTTTACGGATGTGTGACGTCAGGCCCAGATTTACCTGAGGAGGAACGGCAGGCGCGTCATCGCTCACTAAGCTACGGGAAACAGCCGTTTTCCCGAGTGACTCAGCAAGACCTAGCCTCATATCAGTATTCAGGTGGGGAAATTTCAACACTGCACTCCGGCATATGAGGCGGGTTTGTAGTGAGCAAGAGGGTGAAATACAGAATATGAAATACCTTTTGTGCTGGTTTTGCAGTGATATCCGAGCAAACGTTGCTGCACAGGGGCACAACTGGAAGAAAACTGCGTCACATTTGGAGCGAACTATTCGAAGAATATTCCCTTTCGTCGGATATGAAAGAAATCAGTGGGCAGGGCAGCTACCAACGAAACAGGGCTTGATGACGGCTGCATGCTAGACGAACTAGTTCAGTACTTTCTGCTGTGGCTTTAGGCCTGGCGGGTGCTGCCATATTGTTCGCTCTGGGAGCTCTGGGGTTCGCCGTCTTTGTCGCGTTGTTTGGTTCGTGGGTCACTCTGAAGGCATTTAATATCCCCGTCTATAGTGCTGAAATTACTGGCCTGTACATCCGGTTCGGCTATGTCCAGGTATGGCCGCACTAGAAGGTCCGAAAACGAATTGGTGAACCTCGTCGTCGTAGTACCCAGTATATGGCCACTTGCGACGTGAATTTACCTTGTTAAACGACTGCGGCATCAAAACCCGATGCTGCGTCCCTTCTCTAGCAGAGCGCTAGTGCTGACTGAGAGAGCTGGAATCATGTAAAGCCAGCTTAAAGAACTGCTACGCTGAGTAAGGACCGCACTGTACTATGACCAGTGCCGTATCGCAGTCTTCCGGTGTTTCACTGCAGGAACTACTAACATTCGGACCAGCAGCTTTGTATTCCGCCAGCGGCTTCGTAGCTGCTCTTTTGGTTTTCGCACTCTTGTGCACGATGGCGCACTTGGCTCACTGCTTCGTAGGACGACTGCCGAATGCAGGTATTGCCTTCGCGCGTTAATGCATCTTATTCCACTCGACTTGTACGACAGTGCTTTAAACAAGAGTGGACATTTTGTCAAAGTGAATGATTTTGTCCTACTAGACAAGTAGATCAGAGGGGCAGCTTAGGGTACGCATATGGCCTATTTGCTCAGCTTACCGATTTATGGCTCCCCTCGGAGTTTGGGTCTTGCTCTTACCAATTATCTTGGCTATTATAGAAGTTTTCGGGAGGGAATCTTCTGGAATGACATTTGCGCTCCACAACTACCTTGAAAGAGAGTTTGCTTCGGGAGCAACTGGGATTGCTCTTACTGTTCTCATGGACGTTACATTCATGGCAATAAGCTCGGTCGTGCGGGAATAAGACACAAAACAAAATTTCCTCATCACTTTGCGTATAACGATTGCGTTCACGCTATCCGAGCTACGTAGATTCTATAAGGGGTTTGAAACAGCGCGGATGGTACACCTTGAGCGAACCATGTGCTAGCGCTCTCCCCAACGACTAATTTTTGCTGTTTGGAGCCTGTCCCGCAGCTTCTTTACTACTATGCCGTGGCAATACATCACAACGGTCGTGTGCTGGATTGCCATCGGAGATTAACGTCTGACTCAGCAGCATTCCGCTTCCCAAACGATACGGAAGTGTCTGAAAGATATATGAAGGCCTGCTGCTACACAGCAAAACAGTTCTTGGGGCTTGCTGGGGAGACCAGGCGAGTGCAAGTAACCCAGATCCGGGGTAAGCGGGCTGAGAAACCTCAGCATTCTAGTTCAAGTAGAACAAATTTGAACTTCTGCGCAGTCAGTTGCAGCTGACGACCATTCACCTTTGTTGCTCTGAGCATGGCAATAAGCAGCCAAGGTCTGCTGGGTGGCTGCAAATTCACTGTAGCCTGGGCTCCTCTGGTTCTTTACTACTTGATTGCTGATCGTATTTTACTTGCATCGGGCAGCAAACTTTGTACAGAAGGTGTAATGCCTCGCCTTTCTTTCCACGGTCTGTCACCCCAATGTTACGGCTTGCCATTTCGTGCAGTTTTGAACTCTGGTTCCACATCAGCGGAAGGTACTGGAGAGAAAAGCAAAGATACTGTCACAACTTATGTAGCTATTTTCACGGTGCACCCGGCGACCAAGCAGCAAATCCTGTACAGGCACTTTCTAAGGTAAATGCCCCTACAACCCAGCCCTCGTAGCAGAAGGCTGTTTCCAGCCACATCAAATTGAAATTTGCGCTAACTGAATGTCAGCCAGAGCTGACGACCGTAAAACCGTTCATGGCCTTTTGATTTTCCATATGCATATTGATGATATGGAGTTTGCATCCCTGTACTTTGCTGCTTTGGAGCTTCACATTTCAGTCGGGGATAAGAAGCCTTCTTTATGCTTGCTTTATGGCGGCATTCTGGCAAACGTTGCGACCTGCAGATATCCCGACGGCACTATCGTTGAGCAACTGTACAGCGTGCCACTAAATCTGGAGCTTGCGGCGTCAAACTGCCCGACGCAGGTAACTCAGTGCTCTTTTGAGGAGACGGGGTTCCTTCAGCATCAGCCCACAGAGTCAGTTATGCCTTTCGAGGAATGGCGCCGCAGTAGGTTTGGCAACATGCGCCCGACAGTCATTCTGGACACAGTGGGGGAAGCTCTAGAGTGCAGCCCGCCTGAGGAGAAAGCTCGAGGCATTGAGACGCCATGCCTTATAGACTGCCTGAATAAAGTTCCTGGAGATGACAGCCAGCCAGAAGTTCCCCCACGCCGTATGAATCCGTGAGTCACAGCTCCAGAGCAGAGCTGACGGCTCTGATGTGATGGCAGCCGAAAACGTAAAAAGAGTAATGAGGGAAATTATACATATACTCTCTATTGATGTGAAGAATTATAACTCGTTCGCTGTACTAGAGCCAAGTATAACTGCTGTTAAAGTGTGGCTCTCCGCGAGACGCCTGCAAGCGTCCTGAACAGACGGTGCTGACGTACACGGTGTACCGCATACGCTCTGCAGCGCCAAGCGGGAATTCTCATGCAGACTAACAGATTACAAGAGCAGCAGCACTGTTAGTGAACTGTACATGGAGAAGCTCGTACAGACTCTGCCTGCAAAGCAGAACTGGAGACTTTGATTTGGCCTGAGAGAGAGGCATCTTGACTCGAGACAGCTTGGGCTAGTACCCGGTCACGTGCATAACTAAATGCAAGCCCAATGGGTTCCCTGGCGACTACGGTCTATCCCTTCAACGATGTCAACCAGCAGTTGTGGCGAGGAAGCTATTCCACTGTAACTATAAAAGTTTTTAGAATCTTCAGGCTCCTACTAGCTGGCCCCGGAACAAAGTGGCATTGTGATTTAAGCGATTATCACGTTCAGTAGCTACCAGCTAGTTAGCGATTGAAGAGCCAGCAGGTCGTGTAGGCGCCGGCTAGGCTTCTGCTGAGATGTAGAGGACCTCCAGGAGGTCCACGGAAGAATCAGAAACTGCCTCAGAACGAGGGTATGGACATATTGTGTAACTCCATGGAGCCACCAAACGACCCTTCAGGATGACAGTCACGTCGTACGCCAGCTGCTTTTGCCTGCTTGAGTCCGTCTCCGAGCCCGCGGGCCGTGGGATGGTAAGGTATGCTAAGAATGTTTTCCTTCTATAGGCTGAGATTCCCCGTCTAGCTTTTTAGTGCATAGCTGCTCCCTGTTAGAAAACGGGAAGCAGCTACGACCCGGAAAAGTTAAGTGGACCTGCTTCTCTGTGAGGTCCGTGAGTTGGGACAGTTGATGGACTCAGGCATACCCTAGGCAAGGCCTTATTGCCCTGTACCGTCGGTGGTAGGATCCTTCGGAGTAAAACTGAGGGTAAGGAAGAATAACACCCAGTTGTCTAGCTGGTGTTGCCAGTGTCCTACGGGACACGGCACTGCTTCGACATCGGGGGCAGCAAGTGTCCCTTTGGCAGCGTCATCGAGAGAGAATGGAGTTATTCTGCCATGTAATGGAATATGACTGAGCGGTTTTCGAGCTTCTAAATGCTGCATGCGGGGGCGTTCACCCGGACGTGAATGTGTTCCGCCACAGTGCACGCCGCCGACAGCACGCATGACGCCAGCCTAAGTGTCACGTCCCTGCCGCATAGTAGAAGTAAAGAGGATTAAAATCGGCTTTTCGAGCCTTTCAGATGAAAATCTAACCTGTCATGAGGCTCATAAGAGCACGCGCCTAGCTGCCCACTACAGTGGTCTGGAGTTGGTAGATGTCCTGCTACTTTCGCGCAGGGTGGCTACTGAGAGACACGACGGTATTAAGCAATTCTCCACAGCGTTAGTCCATGCATAAAAAGGAGGCTTGCTTATGCTTGCCCTAGGATTGCCCTGCGGCAAGAGTTGCAACAAGCTAGCGTTGCAACGCATGATAGGCTGTCTCCTGTCTGCACCAGCCCAAAGCCCTCATGTCGCTTTGCCAGGGACGCGTAGAGACTAAACGTAGGATCAGCCTCCTTCTTGGAAACTCGCACTGAAATTACTTTGACTCTAGGGCAGCTCACGACGGTCCTCGGCTGTGGTTGATGATTGTCGCTGCAGTAGCTGTAATCTTCGGTCGCAGCATGGGACCGTCGATAGCTCAGAGAGAGTCAAACACTATGAATAATAGTCTCACGAAAAGCCACTGTCCTCCCCTCGTGTTTGCCAGGCGTCCTGCGGCACGCTGTCCTGGTGCAAGTTTGGAGCGGAGGCGACTATCCTAAATGTTGCAATTACTGGCGTTGCTGTATAGCAACGCCGCAGGCAACTATGCCTAAATACCTTCCAATGCATTCACCAACATTGTGAAAGAAGGGCGTATATAGTTCCCGCTGTAACGAGGGTCTACGATCTTATTCGAGGACCTTTGTGAGCTGGAGAAGAGCCAAACACTTATGGAAAGGGTTCCTTTAAAGCTGCCTCGCCTCTGGTCTCCTGGGATCCTGTGCATGACGGTTGAAGGGCCTGAAGTTGGGGTGGAAAAGGCAGCGTTGAATTGCAGCACAACTAGCTGCAACTAGCGCCGCAAGGAAAACCCACATGGGTGCACAACCAAACCCCTTTTGCTTCATCTGCAGACACTCTATAAATGTCAGGCACTTAGTTTGCTCGTATTAAGCTGCTTGCAGCAAATATAAATGGATCTTCTAAGTTCAGATGGAACATGCTACACCAGCGAAAAGCCGGAAGCCATACTACCGCAAAAATCTGCATAAGAGGGGGCAAGGGTTTTTGCGCATACTCAGAAAATTTCCTGCTGCTGCTGTTGTTGCCGAAGCGTGCATGCGGACAGCTCATCTGTCAGCAGTGGGGGGGGCTACTGGCCCGCCCCTGCTGCGATGGCGAAGCCATCGCAGCACTGCGCGATGGAAGCTACTTTTTACTATGGACCATCGAGCAGTGCTGCGATGGCTTTGCCATCGCAGCAGGGGCGGGCCAGTAGCCCCCCCCACTCGACAAGGAGAATGAGCTTGACTCAGCCT